TTTAAAACAGTCTCGTTTTCATTACCCAAAAATGGGATCAAACAGGGGGACTGGGCAAGACAAACCGAACCCCCCCGGCCCCGAGTGAGTTGTGAGCGTTGTGACCCACTGACCTGTTGCCGGCTGCCATCTAGTCACCGATGCCGACGTCGACCTCCGCCCTCCACCATTGCCCGACGCCGCTGTGTGAGCCTTTCTCTCTCTCTCTGTCTCTCTCGTTCTTTTAGTTCTTGATTACGATGGATATGTGATTAATTAACATTTAAGAGGCTGAGATTATGGGGGAGAGCATAATTTGATTTAAGGTGATTTCTGTGGGTTTTTGTGTTTTCTTCAATTTGATTTCTTTGCTTGGACTTCAGAAGTTTTTACGGAATGTGCACGATTTTTAGTGGTGCTTGAGTGTATGGGCTTTGAATATTCTGCTGGAGTTATAACTGGAATCTCTGATTTTTTTTGCTTTTGTTCTATTCGTTGTTTAGAAATCTAAATGATTTTAAGGCTCTTCGAATGGAAAAGCTTTTGATGGGTGATGTGGATATGATGACTCTAATTTTTACGTTCTAGTGGAGTTGAACTAAGAATAAATGATAGTATCTTGAAATGAAAATTATGGGAATGACTACAGCTGGGATGATTTTAATATGCTTTTCAATATCTTATTTGCACAAGAATGCAGTTTTTTGAGCTTACGAGATTGGATCATATATTTTTTTGTAATATCAAGTTGTATTGGATTATATTTTCATATCTATATGATTTTGAGTTTTATTATGTTTATATATTGATTGAAGAATTTTTTATATTGTTTAATTAAGTAATTAATAAATGATGTCGCTATTGCCGTCGTCGACGGTTGACGGTAGACGGTCAGCGACTAAACTATCGCCCTAGCTCACCACAATTTCTGGATTCGCCACTGATTGTGGCTAACTTCCCCATTCTGTAATCAGTGTTGGAATTTCTGCTTTCACAAGGAATTCACCAGGGGCTGCTTCTATCTCCAAGCCAGGTTTTAATCCTTTTCCCATTTGCTCAGACCCACAAAACAATTTTTGTTTTAACAAGAACATTCCTCTTCGAATTTATTGTATGTTCAATCTTCAGTTTTTTGTGCATCCAATCAGATTTGAAATGGGTTCTTTATGCTTCTTCCAGATTTCTTAAAGAGAAGACACTGGAGATGTTATCTAGATGGAGACAGAGTAAAAATTTCAGAGAAAAGTTCAGATTCTTTCCATCCAAATTACAGTCTTTAGTAGCAATTCACAGTTTTTCTTCGCCAATTGAATTCACAACAAAAGAAAAACCTGAAAATTCATTTTCCAGTAAATTTGCTCTGAGTCAACGAGTTTTGGGGGTTCACAAAACAGTCATCCTTACCCCTCAAGTTGTGCAATCCACTCTGCGAAGCTGCTCTTCTGATTTGATTGCTCTAAGCTTTTTCCTGTGGTGTGCCAAGCTACCCAATTACTTTCATGACAGAAACACTTTTCTTCACATGGTAAGTGTGATTTCTAACCTTACTACGAGATTTAGTGAAAATTCATTTTCCAGTAAATTTGCTCTGAGTCAACGAGTTTTGGGGGTTCACAAAACAGTCATCCTTACCCCTCAAGTTGTGCAATCCACTCTGCGAAGCTGCTCTTCTGATTTGATTGCTCTAAGCTTTTTCCTGTGGTGTGCCAAGCTACCCAATTACTTTCATGACAGAAACACTTTTCTTCACATGGTAAGTGTGATTTCTAACCTTACTACGAGATTTAGAACGGTGCGAGGAATACTTGAGGAATTGGAAAATATTGGTTGTATTGTAAAGGCTCAAACTTTCCTGCTTTTACTGCGAATTTACTGGTGTGGAGGCAGAGCAATGTATGAACTCGTTATCGATGCGTTTGAGGAGATGTGCAAGTATGGTTACACTCCAAATTCATATACTCGGAATATTTTTATGGATGTTCTTTTCAAGATTGGGCATGTAAATGTTGCCCTTCAAGTTCTAAAGGAGACACAGGTCCCAAATTTCTTGTCGTTTAGCATTGCAATTTGTAATTTGTGCAAATTGAATGATCTTAACAATGTTAAAAGTGTGCTTAGGTCCATGTTGTCGAAAGGGTATTATCTCAATTCCAAGACGTTTTCATTGGTTTTGAATTGTTTTTGCAAATTCACTAGGTTGGCTGAGGCATTGCAGCTACTAGGCCTGATGGTAGTCTTGGGTGCTCCAGTCTCTGTGAATGTTTGGAGTATATTAATAGATGGATTCTGTAAGTCTGGGCGGATTGATATTGCAGCTTATCTACTTGAGAAGATGTTGGAGAGTGGTTGTTCTCCAAACATTGTCACGTGCACACCTATAATTAAGGGATTCTTGGAATCTCAAATGTATATCAAGGCATTTGAGATCCTTAATGCTCTGGAATTGGAAGGATGTTATCCTGATTTGGTTCTTTCCAATGTGTTGATAGATTGTCTCTCTAAGATGGGGATGTATGATGATGCATTTGAAGTTTTCTCCAGTTTGAGGGAACGGCAACTAATACCTGATGTTTACACTTTTGCTTCTCTGATGTCAACTGTTTGTTTGTCTAGACAATACGTTCTTCTGCCTTTGCTAATCAGTGGCCTGGCTATAGAACCTGACTTAGTAGTATGTAACTCTCTTCTTAGCTATTTCTGTAAAGCTGGTTATCCGGAAGGTGCCGTGGATTTTTATAACAATATTATAGATAGTGGGTTTACACCAGACAAATATAGTTTTGCTGGATTACTTAGTGCACTGTGCAGTTTGGGTAGGATTCAAGAAGCAGTTAATGTGTATTGTGAAATTGTTCGAACTCATCCTTATATTGATGCTCACATCCATACTATAATCGTCAATGGGCTTATAAAATTAGGTAACCCATTTAAAGCAACCAGATTATTCAAAAAAGTTGCTGCAGAGTTTCCACTTGATGTTGTGTCATACAATGTCACCATTGGCGGACTTATCAGGAGTAGTCAAAGGGGAGAGGCTTATGATTTGTTTAGCCAAATGAAGCAGATGGATATACCTCCAAACAAGCACACATATAATCTAATACTCTCTGGCTTGTGTAAGGATGGAGACGTAAAGATGATCAAATCTATCATACAAGAAATGATTGATAGGAATATTGGATTGGACAACGCTGCATGTAGTTTAATGAAGTACCTTGGGTATAAGTCACACAATCTTCCTGGATTGCTGCAAAGGAAGGCAGATTCCTTATGGAATAATGGATGTGATACTGGTGCATATGCTAGCAATGAGGATTTTGGAAATGTAATAAATGTTCTAGACAATAGCACATCCAGCTGGGATGACCTCCAGGATGCAGCTGTTTCTGTGGGTTGATAAAAATTCGAGGAAATTGGTCGTTCTTTCAGCGAATTGTGTTCCTCGAATTCATAAAGCAGCACAACTTCTTTTCCATGGATGTCTAACAGGATTAGAGTGGTTCTTTAAAGGTACTGCTTCTATCTCTTCGCCTATCTCATATCACATTTTTCTAGACAATATTAGGCTTTTGTGTAAGTTTACAGCTTCGGATGAACTATAGGATATGCTATCCATCAATGTATTTCATGATGAACATGCTTGGCATCCTATGTTTAAATTAGTTTGTAAATACGGAAAGTAATCTAACTCTATTTGCTTAATTTTTTGAAGACTGTAAATTATATATTTTCCATCATAAAAAACCTGTTAGAAAATTTATGATTGTGGTATGTCTGCACAAATTGTAGCTTTGGAGTTTTAACTAGAAGAAAAGTTCATTTAAATTGTGATTTATTGTTCATAATTGCTAGTTTCAGATACGAACAAGTTCTTAGGAACTTTTATCTTTTTCTACTCACTAGCTTGCACAGGCTATATATATAGAGAGAGACACTTTTTGATATTGATACTAGGGCCCTGTTTGATTCAGATTATTTGGAAAATATATATTTTTAAACAGTAATTTAACATTATTTCAACCATGCATTTTTCAATAAAATAATATTACATGAAAATTTAAAATTTTTCCTTATTTTTTAACCACACATTTCTCATCAACACACTGTTCAAAAATGCATTTTTTTCAAAATAATATGGCTCAAACAAGGGCTAGATTGGGAATTGGCATTATGTATTACTCATTGAGTTACTGATCTGGAAATTGTGTATCTGACTGTACATTTATCAACTAGATAATAACGAATATAATTCTTGATTGACGATTATGTCTTGCTGCATCATCGGGAATGGGCTCGTAAACAGTATCCTGTGAAACATCAATGGGGTTGTTCTCAACTGTGGATGAGTATCTGGCTACTAAAAGTCCAGAATTTTAGGTTAGCATTTTTTCACTACTAAAATAAAAGAGGCAGTTCTTGTGGCCACTGTTTCTATGCAGTCATGTCATGCTACCGTGTCCCTGAATTTTTTTTATTGTGAAATATCTCTATATATTAAAAGGGTGAGTTGATTTTGTCACTATTCATAGGAACGCATTCCTTACTATTTTTTTTTTCTTTTTCTTTTTCTTTTTTTTAGACCTTGTTTGCATTTAGGACTTGGGTTCTCTTCCCTTTTTTTTTAATCTACAGTTCACTTTGCCACTTATACCGTATGTCTCCCCACCCACAGAATTTCTCCCAATGTGCTTCCAAGATCTCGATTCTAGACTCTGGGTTTTACTCTGTAATTTGAGCAACACAGTAGGTGGATTCCAAGAGGAAATACTCATACAAATCTCTTCAATTCGAGGTACTTTTCTTATGGGTTTTCTGTGTTCTGAAATGGCTTTTCAATTTATTATTATTATTTTTTTATTTTTATTTTATTTTATTTTTTTAAACTAAGGCGTGCAATTTGTTGATTACGTGAACTTTTGTGCTGTGAAGTTAGGGTTTTAATGATTAATGAAACTAAATTTGGGTTTTGTAATCTTCGAGTGTTAAATTGGGACCTCCCAAATTCATGAGGGCATTAAGCCTGGGGTAGATTGACCTACTTGCTTCCCAATGCATACTTCTCTGTTTAACGCGTACAATCTGCGTTTTGTGGATAGGTTGGAATTTTTTTCGCGGTTTTGGTTATTTTTTTATTTTAATATTGTAATATTTTGTTGCTTTGTAGTCTTTGATGAATTTTCAACTGGCGAAACAAGATGATTATTTTGATTATTACAAAAATAGTAGTCACTATGAGAGCAAAGATAGCCAAGGTATGCTCTTTGTTTGTTACAAACCATAATTTTCATTTAGTTTCTCGTATTATTTTTGAGTTGAATTTCTATTATCTACATTAAATTTTGAAAAAAAGCTGGATTTTCAGTCAAAAATCTTACAGTGTCTTTCCCAGTCACTCATCCACAGGTCCACAAAGTATATGGTTTAGCTATTTCAATGAATGGTTTTGTGAAATTGGACAAGTGTGTAGCATTTGGTGATTTTTGCATGTTGGTTTTCTGCATTTTAAGAGGTGGAGCAGTGGGGAAATGCAGTATTGAAATAATGTCAGAAAGGGGATTGAATAAGAAGAATTAGAGCTTTAATAGTAGTGACAGACGACGAGGCTAGAAGTTGCAGTCCTCACATTAAAGAAGAGCGATACAGAGCAATGTTGGGAGAACATATTCAGAAGTACAAGAGGAGGCTGAATAATTCAGCACAAAGTCCTATGTCGATCCGTACAGGGACTCCACCTACAAAAAGTATAGGATCAAAAGATCAGAAATTGGCAAATGGTCACCTATCCATGTCGGATTTTCTCAAAATCAATTCTCAGAAGTAGAGAAATTATCTCGAGTCTAGTGCTATTAGGTGTGCTCCTATCCTTATTTTCTCATTTACAGTTAGTGCTGTTACAAAAAATACACCACAGATTCTCAAATTCAGCAATTGATAAGAGTTATAGTAACCAACTTCATTTGACACCTCATATATGATATTCCTCGTGCAAAATGGTTAATTTCCTTCATCAGATAGTATTTAGAAGTTTCTTGATATTTCATAAAGTACATGCATTTTATTTAACCTCAAGTGGCAACGGGATTTTAGAACAACGGTGACTTGTGTTTACCTTTCTTCATAAGCTAGAAGAGTATGGACCTCCTTTCTGCAACCAAAAGATATTACCATTCACTTAAACGATTAATCTCTTTCTTTCTATCAATAATTGCTGAAGTAATTATTTCCCGTCTATAAAGGTTGATATCATTAATGTGAAAGAAATTGAATATAAATCTTAATTAAAAATGTAACAAAAAAATCATGTTGATCCATAAGTAACTATTACCATTAATAGACTTTTTATAGCAAAAATGTACATGTACTATTACAATTATGGCAGCTACAATAGGTGGACCAATCACTAAAGCTAAGATAATCCCTTTTATCATGTCTCTAACGAATAGCCATACTGTTCGCTATGAAGGAAAAATCAAGTTTCAAAGAAATTAATTGATCATTAGGGAGATAGGATAAAAATAAACATGATGCTGGAAAAGTGAGAAACAAATAAAAAAATGGCCAAAAAGTCAAATTAAATACCTTGTTAAAACCATGGCGAGCCTTGATCACAAAACTTGAGTACAAGGAAAATGGCAAATCAGTTAGCTGTGTAAGGATTTAAAAAAATCGATAGAAACTCAATTTGAAGAGTAGAAACACAAGTTCATAGACGGAAAAAATTCTTTCTGGAAATTGAAAGTCTTACCCTAGATCCTCCTTTTCCTTTCAAAAAGAAGCAATAAATGAGATCCCAACACCAAAATAAAATAGAATCTTACCTAGTAGAGATCTTACTATTACGATTGAGGAAAATGGTAGTTCTAATGGAACAATGAGGGAGTTAGGAATATCAGCATGATTTTTTGCTACATTTTGGATTAAGATTTATATTTTCATTTCTTTCTCATTAATGATATCAACATTTATAGATGGGGAATAATTACTTCAGGAATTATTGATAGAAAGAAAGAGATTAATTGTTTAGGTGAATGGTAATGCCTTTTGGTTGCAGTAAGGAGGTCCCTACTTGACCATATATATGTGAATTAATTTGCTTGGCCAAGGCCACGTGTGCCCTGGATGGCCAGAGCACAAATGGCCCCGGCCATAAAGCAAATCTCTCTATATTTATGTGTGTGTGTGTTTTTTTTTTTTTTTTTTTGTATATTTCTTTTATTTCAAGCATAGGCAACTAGTAAAAATGACATAGTTTATAAACTACACTTGTTCCTTGCGACTTTTCGTATTTTGATATCATTTCACAATAACTTGATTATTATTTATCAATCTTAAAAAATTATCTTATTTAAAAAATTGGATTTCTTTGCTAGGATGTATTGCCTCTTTGTCTTGTGGAACTTCATTCGGAAAATGAATAATGAATTTCTATGCTATGATGTACTGCCTTTTGTCTAACAAAAAATTTGAATATCCTATTGTTACATAGAAACTCTACGAGTTCATAGATGCATCCTATCGAAGTTGGAAAGATAAATTTTTGATCTCTAATATTGCAATTGTCTATCACACTTATCTTTAGCATATTAATTCAACAAATAGGCTAGTGCAGGAAAATTTTAGCATACTAATTCAACAGACTTTTGGTCCATCCCACCATTGCATTCCAAATATAAGGCTCTCATAATTGATAATAAAAAATAAAAAAAGAACGAATGGGCCTGGGCCCAAATTTCAGGGAGGGCAACCATATGGGGCTCTGCCCCTGCCTATATTTAAAAATACATGTAAATAAAATAAATTTTTTTTAGGCTCTCACTAAAGTGGGGCCTTAGGAGTCACCTACCCTACCTATAGTTTTGGTCGAAACTGCACAAGTGTACCAAGATTATGATTGGAAACCAGTATGATGGATTCTTACCATGATTCTTTATGGAACATGTCTATTAATCTCTTGACATGATACCATTAAGTTCACCTGCCTATGTAATTTAGAGTTGGGACAGAGGTAATGGGAGGCTGGGATGGGCTATAGCCTAGCCCGAACTCCCACCCCATATGGAAAATTAAAAATAAATTGTGTAATTTTGATCCAAATATTTGTGTTAGCCCAAGTCTAATTTAAATTCCAACTCAAGCTCAACTTTACAATTATTGAATACTATTTTTCACATTATCTTATTTTCAAATTAGGTATTTTACTTAATACACGTTTGACTAAATTTACTTATAATAATTAAGTAAATTTTATAATAGATAATTTGTATTGATCAAAGGCATAGTCATGAAATATTATCTACAAGGCATAGTTGTTCTGTGCAACTGCATTTTTAAGTATGAAAGCATTGGTGTGTTCTTTAGAATATTATTTTGTAATTTGTCTTAGTCTATAATTAAGATATGTGTAGAACTTTTGGTTTTATGTATATGGGATGACTTTCAATGCTATTGCTATACTGGTTCAAGATTTTGATGCAATCATGAACAAGTTAATTGAGATTATATTTTGCTTATGTTATTTATGTTAATGCAAGAAGTTAAATCTACAAAAGTTCATTCATTTTTCATTGTGTCGTATGATCGTTACTAGAGTCAAAACAAATAAATTATTTTCGAATGAAAATTAGAATTCTGCCAATGAATATAAGTTATCAATTTTTCTTTCTTCAAACACTTTACTTGAGGAAGTTCTTTTTTAACTGGAACAAAATTTATGGTTTTGAATATATCATTTTTGCAATGTTGTTGCCTTGAAATATTTAGCAAAATATGCTTAAATTTGATATAACTAATGCTTAATACAAATAATTTTTTTATTTTTTTATTTTTTTATATCTACACTATTACATAGTCAACTACACTATGACATGTGCCTTGCACATGCATCTTACTAGTATTCAAACAGAAGTATCTGAGTTGATTAAATACTTTAATGCTTCATATCGAGAATTAGTGTGTACTGTCGACATGATATTATAGTTTGTTTACCACAAATAATGGTATAAATCACTTAGCCTTCAATTTCTAGGCTCGAAGATTATCGTCAATGTTCAGAAACCATTTTGCCCATTGCCCTCACGGCGGAGTTGTGATTCTCATGCCACCAAGAGCACGGGCGATAATAACAAGATTGCTGCAAGAGTCAAAGAGATTTGAAAGGCAACGCCATCTATACGGAAGAAGATCAAAGATGGTAATGGTTTAGTTGGTAGCTTTTCTTGCATTGGTGCTATTCATTGATTGACTTTCTGAAGATCCTTGTTTGGTGCTCTTGATCATTTTAGGCAGTCTGGAATACCACATTTTGTCGTTGGAGTAGTGCTCATTTTTGTGTAGGCAGCAGACCAGTAAAACTTTTTCATGCTTTAAATAATGTATTGCACATTTGATTATTTGTATTGCGGGCATAATTTTCAAGTGTGTGTTTTTTGTTTGACAGTATATTCACTTTTTATATCAAAATACAAGAAAAGTAAGTAAAACATTTGTGCCTCTTTGAGTGTTGATATCCGTTTCTTCCCTCTTCTTATGTAAAAGATTACGCAAATAGTTATGTACAAGAAGGATTCTTCTTTTTATGTCAAAATACAAGAAAAGTAAGTAAAACATATGTGCCTTTTTGAGCGTTGATATCTGTTTCTTCCTCTAGGTGAGGGATACTTGAGAAGTGGAACATTTTTTATGTGGATTGTGCTATACATACATAATAATTTACATGATGATGTGATGAGATTTAATTGAATCAAAATATCGTCAATCAATTAACTTTTCCACTTACATTTTGATTGCCTCATCATTATGTAAAACATTGTGTAAATAATTATGTACAATAAGTATTTTCCTTTTTACGCATAACTAGATGCTAGCAGGACTACAAAGAAATCTATGATCCAAAATGAATAACAGGTTCATCAACTAAATTAGCTAGTCAAAATAACATATGAAATTAAATGGGAGGCAAAGTCACAGGGCCCGATCAAGTATGTTCGAGATACAGCTCTAGTAGATAGGACATGAGAGTATAATATACAAAATTTTAATTCATTTTTCTACATCAATACTGTCTAGAAATCCACCACCTAGATATGGACATCTAGTGAGTCACAAAATTTTCACGACCCAATATTCTTGAAGGGAGTTGAAGCAGCATTTCTTTCATTCTTTGCTCGTGCACATCTCTTTGTTTTCCTAAACTCTAGCAACTCGTAGAAATCTAGGAAAGGTCAAATCTTTGAAATTCCATCATGTATGATTTGAGTTGCGAAAAAGTTCAAACAAATATCCTACATCTGAATAGAGTGATTGTAATGGTCTCAAGAATCCAGTCACAGGTAAGCTAAGAACCTGTCTAACGACAAAAATCTTCACTTGGCCATGGACGATCTTTTGGAGACAAATAATAGTAGTTCAATCACCATTAGTTAGCTGATTATTGGTAATGTTACTTCACTCAGACGGGAGTATCCAAGACAATCTCGGCCAACTGGATGTTGCCGCTCAAGCTTGCTGCCTTGTGAGAGGGCATGAATGAAAACCCATCAAGAAGCTTTATGCACTTCAAACCCCATTTCTCCATTAAGAACTCAATGAGGTGATGACCACTGCAAATAGTAAATCACAATCAAATGTCAGGCTTACTTCGAAATGGAAACTGAAAGGTTTTAGAACATAGAAAATGGAACGAACAATTGAAGCAATACCTTCTGTTGTGATATGTTGTTATAAAAACAGACTCTGGGAGTTTTTGGAGCAAAAATGTCACAGTGGCAAAAAGATCATCAAAAGCTAAGCAAGGCATGCAACAGAAAATAGTTCTTTTAGTTAACATATATGGGAGAGAAGGAAGGATAAACTACATGTAAAACAATTGATCCTACCACTTGTATCATAAAGCACATCAGCTCCAAGGATGATATTTGGGTGTAAACTGAAGATGGGTGCATCCCATACACCCCAAGTGAGTCCTAATACCTGCAGCATTAAATGAAACCTAAGTAACGTTACCTTTTGTTGTATTAGCATACAAGTTAATTCATTGGAGAAAAATGAAAAGAAAATAGAACTCTGTCTGGACTTCTACTGTCATCCTGATATTTCGTGCTCAAGTATGTAGAAAGGACCGTGTGCTTTTGTGTGTATTTTTTGGGGTTGGGGTTTGTAACTCATGATGCAGAATCTGAGCTGACTCTTATCGCATGATGTAAACAAGAGGGTCACGATTTACTTTACACTTGAGATTGTTTAAAACGCACACCCTTCTCATATTATCCAGCACCTGCAGGTCCAAGGAATAGAGCTTTTTAAAATATAATAAATTGGATAAGAAACAATTTACAACATATAAACTCTCACTGGAACTACTAAAAGCTGGTATTACAAAAGTTGTGGCGATGTCGCTGAATCATCGCATTTACAGTAAAAGTGTGAGTTTTGAATGTCTTTCTCAACCCCCAACAATACAAAATACTTAGCACTGACTACACATTTCTGAGGCTAACGAACTGCAAATGGGAGAATATACACAACAAGTATAAAGACTACTAATTTAATCAAATGATGAAAACCCATTAACAAGGTTATCTTACAGACTTACACAATGAAAATTAAAGCAGAAAATTCCAGATAAGCAATATCATACCTCCAACCTAGTTGAATCATCAGTCAGGGTTACTTCTGCACCCACTTTAGCAGCAACAAGTCCAGGCAATGAAGTTCCAGCACCCAGCTGTCAAAGAAAAATAAAATACCAATGTTAACAACAAAAAGAAGTGAATGAAATAAAATTAACATCAAATCAAAAGAAAGCAGCAGGTTGAGTTCATGCTCAAATGAAACTAGCATTTTCACCTACCTCAACAACATGAGAACTGGAAAAGCGCGCCTTCTGTTGCCAAACATACTCAGCTAGAATTCTACTACATGGCCATACAAATAGTCCATATTCTTCTTTCATATTCTGAAAGGAAAAGCCAATAAATATCAATGTAAAATTGCACTATATTATAATTTCCATTTTTCTTCCAGTTTATCATTTTAGACTTATGAATATAAATTTGGAGGAACAAGACCTCGATGATGCTGATTGATAAGCCATCCTCGCTATCTCCAAAAAGATGCCGAGAAGTAGTAGTCATGTCCTGATTGGACAATGATTTGGTTACTCCATCCTCTTGTATGAACGACGTCTGGAAACATCCTAACCAAATATCAGGACTAGAACCTCAAGATAGGGTAAAATCCCACCCGTATTATGAGAGGTGGTTCAGGACTTTTGAATCCTAAAACCTCAAATATTAAATAAAGTATTACAATCACTTGTGCAATTCTATCTCTAACTATCTGCACATTATTGAAGTATAACCAAAAATCAAGTTAGTTGAAACATGTTTTTGCATTTTCCTCCTTCCTCTTATGTGTCGCTTAAACTTGTCCCTTGTACATTTACTGAAATTTCTTCAAAAGTAGTTCTTTTTATATATGATGTATATTTGTACTTGTAGCTTTTTGATGTGATAAAATTGCATTGCATCATATTAAAAGTATTTAGTAAGATCTGCAATAACATAAAAAAATAGCCCATCTACTCAATGTATCAATAGATTCAATACAAAAGAACTGTTGCGTAATTAAAAGCAAATTACAAGAAATTGAAGGTTTTGGTTATCTATCTCTGGCATTAACAATTTTAACTTAAATTAAGAAGTATTTAAGTTATATCCGAAATATTTTAATCTGACAATAATGAAGGAAAATCATCAGATTGATGTAAAGTTGGCGATTTTAGCTTTCATACCATTATCTCGTAAGTCAAACATGATTTTCGTTTATACCTCATACTCCTCATCCTCTTCCAATTCACTTTCCAATACCAATTTCTGTTTCTTGATCTTGTTTTCGGACTCCATGGAATCAGGTGTGGCTTCACCCGAGGTGCAATTTGGCAGAAGGGAGAAAGGGAATATTGTATGCTGCAGAACTGGCCATCTCCGATCTCCGTAAACATAAACCCTGGGAATTAAAAATTTTAAAAATATAAATTCTAATAAATAAAATTTAAAACAACTGTGTTATGTGTACAATCGAGATTGACAAATTTGATTGACAATTAGACACATGGAAGGGGCCATGCTGAATAAAAAAATTGTGAGTCCCCCTCCTTTGAATATATTGTCAACCTGGATTGTCAACCCCCGATTGTACAGAAGAATAATTCAATTTAAAAAGATAAAATTGATTTATATATATACTTGATAATGTATTGACATAAAATTTGTTCTAATTTTACTGAGTAATCAAATTTCATAAAACAAATTTTTCAAAATTTCAAAATAAACTTGTTTTCTAGATTTCTGCTTTGACAAATAATTTTTTAAGATGACAAACTAAACGAGTTTTCAATAATTTTAAAGCAGAACCTCGAAACCTAAAATTGAGAATAAACTCAAAATTGAAAACTAAAATACAAACTAAACAGACCCTAATTTGTTAGTAAAAGTAGTCATTCTCAACGTCATATCACATCTGTCGATAAAAAGATTTTAATCATCTCATCTTTGTATAAGTCCCTACTTGGTTTAGGTCAAAATAAGTTTTTTTAATAATGCTTAATAAAACATATGATTAAAAAATTGGTAGAAGACGTCCCATGAAATACGTAGTTAAAAATGAATTTGAAAAAAAATGAATTTTAAAAAATGGAAGCAAACGAGAGGTAAATGTTTAAATCATATTTGTATATTTGAAGTCCAAATAACTCCATCAAAGCTCTAAGTAATATATGCATTATTTCTTCCACTCGTACTTTCAAGAGATTTAATAATAATAATAATAATAATAATAATAATAAAAGACTCAACCTACTGTTGGCGTCGATGGTCGGGCGAGAAGCCCGAGAAATCGGGCCCGACAGAGTAATATGATTGAAATGAAAGTGATCCAATCAAAAATGGGATCACTTTTATCTTAACTTGTCGACTTTATCAACCAGTTTAACTTAATTTCAAAATTATCTTCAAAATGTTTGGGTCCAAAGAATTGAACCTTAAGGTAACATGAATGATATCTAACCACGGCAACCTACAATAGTTTATTGTTGTTTATGTGCAATAATATATATGTATCTCATCAACTATTTTTAGTTTTCCAAAAAAAAAAAAAAATGATAAAATATGAACTTTATTTTATGAACTTATTATGATGGAAACATTAATTTTACTTAAGATGAATTGAATATTTAATAATATTAATAACTTCAAAAATATGAATAATTAGTGACAAATGATTTAAAAACTTTAATTTTACCTTAAAAGGAAAATTTTATACTTCAAAATCTTTCTATAACTCTTAAACAATGATCCATTGATCCGACCGGTAACCAAAAACTTAGTACCTAGACCGGGCTGATGTCCTTATTGGGTCTAATGACTATGGTTCCTGCTTTAGAAGAATTACTTTTATCGAAGGCATGGACCTACTAATGACAGATAGTTTTGTCGAATTACGACAATCAATAACAAGACTTTCTACATTGTACTTTTAGCACCATTTCTTTCCTTGAAATATTTCATTTATTTTTCTACTTTAAAGTCGGTTAAAAAAAAAAAAAAACAAAACAAAGTTCTTCAATATTAATGACATGTTTGGCATGTTTGATTTAATAAAAACATGTGATAGAATTCATCAAAATATTGAAAAACAACCACATCGAACAGCTATAGTCGATAGAGAACAAATATTGGAACAAATTGCAGCAAGCTTTGCATTAATAGTTTAAGTTATCAACATGTGAATGCTCATCAGAAAAATTCTCAATGATAAACCTCAAAATGATCAGTGTATGCCAATGTTGGTGTCACTAGCTCAATGTATGATGAATTCAAATATTTCTTGACAAAGCAAATTAAAAGCTGTATCTTGAGCAATGACCCGTACAAACTCAGCATCATCGTAGTTTGGTCTTCTTCAGTTCCTGCAATTGAAGTGCTGCAGATATCTTCTTCCAGCAGTATATGCTGATGATTGTGGGAATTACAACCCAAGAAGCATTAGCTATAATGTAGTATGCGTAATAGTGATACATGCTCGCAGCAAAGTTGTCTCCTTCCAAGTAAGATGTGATGAAATATACAGCAGTTCCATAGAGCTGCCCCAAAGAAATGGACAGTTGGAGTGTGTACCTATACGACTTTTTTGTTGCAATAGCATACCTGCCAGTAAGATCGGGAGATCGGGAATGAGTGGTAAGGAAAAGACACATAAAACTAGGTCCAGATCAAAAATCTGTAAGAAATTTTTATGTGCTGGTTTCAGTGCTGTTTCACTTTGGTACTGGAAAATTTGTTTTGCTCCAAATTAATAACCGAAGATTCATTTTTGTTTTAATTTAATCAATTTGTCAACCCTGTACTAACAAGATGGTTGTAGCAATGGCAGTAGTGGGCAGGGGAGACTGCAGTGTGGTTGGGAGGCAGAGATTACAACTTTCCTTCTTTAATTACATTTTTTTGTTACTTACAAAAAGTGCATGAGGGGAAGCACAATTCGTCAAACAAGATACATTCTTGTTCATGTAGATGACAAAAGCAATTGTTTTATAGACTGTAGTAGACAGAATGTCTTAACTGAAATTAAAATAGAAAAAAGTTTAGGGCCTAAAGTGAAGCAACGTAATGCTTCACTTGAAAGATAAAAGACTTCATAGTTTAGAACGTACACAGCAAGGAGAGAGGCTGGACCCTCTAAAACGGCAGTAATCCCTTCAACAGTGACGACACAAGAATCCCTTGCTGCATACCTTGAATCACCTTTGCTGTATTCTTTCCCTGCCATATTCATTTATAAGCAAAATATACAGCTGGGGGGTTTGCATGATCCCAACTAGGGAAATAAAAATTATGGGATGAAGCAGTTAGCAAAACTCACAAACTTCTGCAGGGTAAAACGAAGTCTTCTCCTTGTAGAATTCTGGGGAAAATACAAAATATCCCTCCAGGATAATGTGGGTCAGGCCCGTGAAAATCCACCAGCACATTAGCCGTCTCTCAGTTTTTGACATTTTTGGAAACCGCCCTAGCATTATAAAGAATAAGATGGAGAAATGAAAACAGATGGGTTTTCCAGAAGCAAATTAAATTTTATAGATAAAAAGGTCTCGAGAGAGCAATCTATTAGAGCAACCAGGCCAGCACATAATGTTTATGCTAAACCACTTCATCTAAAGTTTAACCAATTAGAGTGGAGACAAATTAATTTATTTGATTAGTGTCTTTAACACGCCATGTCATGTGCGGACTAGTTCCATTTTTTCATCAAGGCTAGACACATGCACAACTTTATAAATAGGTACCAGTAAAACTCGAACTCAAAACTTTTGCTTGCTTTGATACTGTACTGAACCTCCTCATCAGTTGGTTCAAATATTATGGTGGTCATAGCTTGACTACTAAAAACCTTTGTTTACTTGTAATGAGGTCAAAGTGGACTCGTGTACTTAAAATTCATTTCATAATATAGTTATCACCATAGAAGTACCAAAGGCAGAAAGAGAGCTTTTTTGAGCAGGCTAATGCCTACAATAGGATAATATATGATATAGTAGTTCAAGCCTCAAGGATTACCGGAGAGGATCCACATGAAGGAGACGACCAATAGAGAAGAGATTCCGAAAACGCTAATTATGGTTGATTGAGAGAGGCTCACAGGCACATAACCAGGCAATTTCAGATCTCTTGGAATGTAAGGGTGACCATCATCTCCTTGCGTCTCCATTTTCCTGCCATGTGCAGTTCACTTCAATCAAAACAGGGGCAATGCCTTTTCAAATGATAAATATCATATACATGAACATCTACAATTTGACCTAACAAATACTACCTTAGGTTCTATGAAACTAAAAAAAAAATCATCATTTAGAAGGCTCGAGATAATAATCACCAATAACCTTCTATTAACAGCTTCAATAACACTCGTCGTGATAAAATCCTTTAGTTTTTCAGCTAAATGGCATTTGCCATCTCTTATCAGTAGCCAAACCAGCCAAAATGGATTCGGAGAAAAATTTACATCATATGACTTATATGCATATACAATTGACTACCTTTGGCAACAGTCCAATCTTCTTCATTTCATAAGCATAATCGCAAATCTAACACATTTAAAAAATTTATTTCTGTCCATTGTTGAGCAATCAACATCCCAAGGAAATGGCATCAAATATGGTATGAAGTAATTGACACTTGTTATTCATCATGACAAACAACAAAATGTAAAACATGAAATACACCACAGCCATGATGACTAAAACTACTTGTCCTGTTAATAGCTATTAATTCATTTTCAGCTACCTTTTAATTCTATTTGATTGAAACATACAGTAAGATCACTTTTACAAAAGGTTGTTTTGTTAAATCTCCTTTCACTCTTGGTACTCTGTGTGCATTTGAACTTTGAAGACTGTGCGTGTGTGCACATTGGCCAAAGGAAGTCTCATTTGAACAGGGAAAGGCAAATGTAAAACAAAAACTAGGTTATAGATCTACAGAATCTTGCTGGAAGAAGTCAATATTCTTTGAGTTTGAATATTAAGCCTCCAGCTATAACATTCATCCAGATGTGATATGTGAGTGTGCACATTTGTTTGCTGAGAACCATCCAACAACCACAATAACTGTCTGGAATTGAGATATTTCAGCCACCTATGGCAACAAATCTCTTTTTTTTCTTAACCATAACTTATTCAAATATTGGTGACACTAAGTTCTAGATAGACCAAGACCGGGGTCATTCAATTAAATCTTATGTCCTTAACAATCCATTATTCTTATTAGTCCAGCAGAATGAAATAGTTGTAAAAAAAATCTAGAAGTGTTGCCACAAATATAAATATACATGCACAGAAACATATTTATGGATCGACACCTAACAAGATGTTAAACCAGGTTGAATACTATACGAAATGGGTGGGTAGGAATGCTCCAATGAAATTTGGAAAATTACAGTAAGGTCAGCAAAAAACCATTTCAAAGAACTCCATTTACACCATGATTGTTTTTATGCTCATTTTGTTGATTTGATTAGAAAATTCGAATTAACCAATCTTCTAATTTATCTAAAACACAATAATAATAGTTCACAAATTATCATTTATGGCATTAACTATTTTGTTCAAACAAGCCACTTTCTATCATTTACGCAGATTGACAATTTTAAACTCAAAATCACATAATATTTGGAGAAAAATTAAAACAAAGATAGATCATATTGAACAATAGGAATTGGGCTATTTCTATTTCAAGTCAATTAAGAGTTGAAATCATAAAAAAGAGTGGATCCCTTTAAACTAAAACTACCCTCCTCGTTCATTAGGCCCTTTTTCTTCTCGTTTTCCCCTAACCTCCGCTCTCAAGGTAAAATCGAGATTTAAAATCCAACATTCTACGACATAATACAGCAGAGCCAATAAGCAACGAAATTGCATGCTAAAAAGTTTCAAATTTCGGCTTGATTTGTAAAATGTTAGAAAAAGAAAGGCATATCATTGTACACTTACAGATATTTTCACAAAGAGAACCACTTTGTTGTCGACGCCCACAAAAAATCTTCAGTGAAAAATGAAGGAAAAAGTGGGATTAGATTTGGCTGTTGAGTATTGACTAGGAAGCGGAGAGGGGTATTATTATAAATGACCTGCTACTATTCATTTTTTATAAAATGTCTATTATACCTTAATGAAATAATTTATCATATATTGCACAAGATATTCTTAATTTATTGGGATAATTTTAAATTCTTCTATTTCTCTCATTTCGAGTTTTAATATGTAGTTTCATCCTTTGATCTAATAAATTAGCATAATCTGTAATATAATTGTCATGTAATTTACTAAGATTATCAAATTCCTTTGATAATATATCCATAATCTCTAATTGAGAATAAATATTTTCTATTTTTTCCATTAATCTATCTAACAGATTATCTAATCCTTTAATTGTATAACCTGGCATTATTCAAATAATTCCTTGCAAACTTTATGAATAATAACATATTTAGATAAGTTTTTTGCAAACATAAACAATAATAATCCCTACGATTCTTTCAAGATATTAGAAGAATTCTTTCTAAATTTAACAAAGACAATAATTTTACCTTACTTTTGATCTTAATTCTGTATTCTTAGAACCGAGTGACCTTCAGGCTCTGAATCTGCAAACTGCTCCCTTAAACGGCCTCTTGCCTCAATGGGAATTCTGCTATTTCAGCTTCTTGCCCTCACTGTATCTTTTCCTAAGAATAGAGATCTTAAGTAAAGAAAATTCTCTCTTTGTTAAAGTAAGAAAGAGATTATCTTCTTCAATCTATCAAGAATCTATGGGATAGTAAGTTTAGAAACTCATATCTTTCTTATATCAAAAGATTGAGATTTTATTTCTATAATGAATTATACAAGATTTATATTGTATACAAGGGGTTTCCAGAAAAACTGGTTTTGAAAAAACTTAAGGAAAGAGAATGGTTTCAACTCGAGATGATCCATTCTTTCCCGTCAATCAATTAACTTTTCCACTTACATTTTGATTGCCTCATCATTATGTAAAACATTGTGTAAATAATTATGTACAATAAGTATTTTCCTTTTTACGCATAACTAGATGCTAGCAGGACTACAAAGAAATCTATGATCCAAAATGAATAACAGGTTCATCAACTAAATTAGCTAGTCAAAATAACATATGAAATTAAATGGGAGGCAAAGTCACAGGGCCCGATCAAGTATGTTCGAGATACAGCTCTAGTAGATAGGACATGAGAGTATAATATACAAAATTTTAATTCATTTTTCTACATCAATACTGTCTAGAAATCCACCACCTAGATATGGACATCTAGTGAGTCACAAAATTTTCACGACCCAATATTCTTGAAGGGAGTTGAAGCAGCATTTCTTTCATTCTTTGCTCGTGCACATCTCTTTGTTTTCCTAAACTCTAGCAACTCGTAGAAATCTAGGAAAGGTCAAATCTTTGAAATTCCATCATGTATGATTTGAGTTGCGAAAAAGTTCAAACAAATATCCTACATCTGAATAGAGTGATTGTAATGGTCTCAAGAATCCAGTCACAGGTAAGCTAAGAACCTGTCTAACGACAAAAATCTTCACTTGGCCATGGACGATCTTTTGGAGACAAATAATAGTAGTTCAATCACCATTAGTTAGCTGATTATTGGTAATGTTACTTCACTCAGACGGGAGTATCCAAGACAATCTCGGCCAACTGGATGTTGCCGCTCAAGCTTGCTGCCTTGTGAGAGGGCATGAATGAAAACCCATCAAGAAGCTTTATGCACTTCAAACCCCATTTCTCCATTAAGAACTCAATGAGGTGATGACCACTGCAAATAGTAAATCACAATCAAATGTCAGGCTTACTTCGAAATGGAAACTGAAAGGTTTTAGAACATAGAAAATGGAACGAACAATTGAAGCAATACCTTCTGTTGTGATATGTTGTTATAAAAACAGACTCTGGGAGTTTTTGGAGCAAAAATGTCACAGTGGCAAAAAGATCATCAAAAGCTAAGCAAGGCATGCAACAGAAAATAGTTCTTTTAGTTAACATATATGGGAGAGAAGGAAGGATAAACTACATGTAAAACAATTGATCCTACCACTTGTATCATAAAGCACATCAGCTCCAAGGATGATATTTGGGTGTAAACTGAAGATGGGTGCATCCCATACACCCCAAGTGAGTCCTAATACCTGCAGCATTAAATGAAACCTAAGTAACGTTACCTTTTGTTGTATTAGCATACAAGTTAATTCATTGGAGAAAAATGAAAAGAAAATAGAACTCTGTCTGGACTTCTACTGTCATCCTGATATTTCGTGCTCAAGTATGTAGAAAGGACCGTGTGCTTTTGTGTGTATTTTTTGGGGTTGGGGTTTGTAACTCATGATGCAGAATCTGAGCTGACTCTTATCGCATGATGTAAACAAGAGGGTCACGATTTACTTTACACTTGAGATTGTTTAAAACGCACACCCTTCTCATATTATCCAGCACCTGCAGGTCCAAGGAATAGAGCTTTTTAAAATATAATAAATTGGATAAGAAACAATTTACAACATATAAACTCTCACTGGAACTACTAAAAGCTGGTATTACAAAAGTTGTGGCGATGTCGCTGAATCATCGCATTTACAGTAAAAGTGTGAGTTTTGAATGTCTTTCTCAACCCCCAACAATACAAAATACTTAGCACTGACTACACATTTCTGAGGCTAACGAACTGCAAATGGGAGAATATACACAACAAGTATAAAGACTACTAATTTAATCAAATGATGAAAACCCATTAACAAGGTTATCTTACAGACTTACACAATGAAAATTAAAGCAGAAAATTCCAGATAAGCAATATCATACCTCCAACCTAGTTGAATCATCAGTCAGGGTTACTTCTGCACCCACTTTAGCAGCAACAAGTCCAGGCAATGAAGTTCCAGCACCCAGCTGTCAAAGAAAAATAAAATACCAATGTTAACAACAAAAAGAAGTGAATGAAATAAAATTAACATCAAATCAAAAGAAAGCAGCAGGTTGAGTTCATGCTCAAATGAAACTAGCATTTTCACCTACCTCAACAACATGAGAACTGGAAAAGCGCGCCTTCTGTTGCCAAACATACTCAGCTAGAATTCTACTACATGGCCATACAAATAGTCCATATTCTTCTTTCATATTCTGAAAGGAAAAGCCAATAAATATCAATGTAAAATTGCACTATATTATAATTTCCATTTTTCTTCCAGTTTATCATTTTAGACTTATGAATATAAATTTGGAGGAACAAGACCTCGATGATGCTGATTGATAAGCCATCCTCGCTATCTCCAAAAAGATGCCGAGAAGTAGTAGTCATGTCCTGATTGGACAATGATTTGGTTACTCCATCCTCTTGTATGAACGACGTCTGGAAACATCCTAACCAAATATCAGGACTAGAACCTCAAGATAGGGTAAAATCCCACCCGTATTATGAGAGGTGGTTCAGGACTTTTGAATCCTAAAACCTCAAATATTAAATAAAGTATTACAATCACTTGTGCAATTCTATCTCTAACTATCTGCACATTATTGAAGTATAACCAAAAATCAAGTTAGTTGAAACATGTTTTTGCATTTTCCTCCTTCCTCTTATGTGTCGCTTAAACTTGTCCCTTGTACATTTACTGAAATTTCTTCAAAAGTAGTTCTTTTTATATATGATGTATATTTGTACTTGTAGCTTTTTGATGTGATAAAATTGCATTGCATCATATTAAAAGTATTTAGTAAGATCTGCAATAACATAAAAAAATAGCCCATCTACTCAATGTATCAATAGATTCAATACAAAAGAACTGTTGCGTAATTAAAAGCAAATTACAAGAAATTGAAGGTTTTGGTTATCTATCTCTGGCATTAACAATTTTAACTTAAATTAAGAAGTATTTAAGTTATATCCGAAATATTTTAATCTAACAATAATGAAGGAAAATCATCAGATTGATGTAAAGTTGGCGATTTTAGCTTTCATACCATTATCTCGTAAGTCAAACATGATTTTCGTTTATACCTCATACTCCTCATCCTCTTCCAATTCACTTTCCAATACCAATTTCTGTTTCTTGATCTTGTTTTCGGACTCCATGGAATCAGGTGTGGCTTCACCCGAGGTGCAATTTGGCAGAAAGGAGAAAGGAAAATTGTATGCTGCAGAACTGGCTTTCTCCGATCTCCATAAACATAAACCCTGGGAATTAAATATTTGAAAAATATAAATTCTAACAAATAAAATTTAAAACAGTTGTGTTATATGTACGGCAGGATTGAGAATTTTGGTTGACAATTAGACACATAGAGCGACTCAAGTTGAATAAAAAAATTGTGAGTCTCCCTCCTATAAGTACATTGTCAACGCCCGATTGTATAAGAAGAATAATTCAATTTAAAAAGATAAAATTGATTTATATATATGCTTGATAATGTATTGACATAAAATTTGTTCTAATTTTACTGAGTAATCAAATTTCATAAAACAGTATTTCAAAATAAACTTGTTTTCTAGATTTCTGCTTTGACAAATAATTTTTTGAGATGACAAATTAAACGAGTTTTCAATAATTTTAAAGTAGAACCTCAAAACCTAAAATTGAGATTAGACTCAAAACTGAAAACTAAAATACAAACCAAACAGACCCTAATTTGTTAGTAAAAGTAGTCATTCTCAACGGCATATCACATTTGTCGATAAAAAGATTTTAACCATTTCATCTTTGTATAAGTCCCTATTTGGTTTAGGTAAAAATAAGTTTTTTAATAAAACTTAATAAAATATATGATTAAAAAATTGGTAAAAGACATGACTTTCATAAAATATGTAGTTAAAAATGAATTTGAGAAAAAAATGAATTTTAAAAATGGAAGCAAACGAGGGGTAAATGTTTAAATCATATTTGTATATTTGAAGTCCAAATAACTCCATCAAAGCTCTAAGTAATATATGCATTATTTCTTCCACTCGTACTTTCAAGAGATTTAATAATAATAATAATAATAATAATAATAAAAGACTCAACTTATTGTTGGTGTCGATGGTCGGGCCAGAAGCCAGGGAAATCGGGCCCGACAGAGTAATATGATTGAAATGAAAGTGATCTAATCAAAAATGGGATCACTTTTATCTTAACTTGTCGACTTTATCAACCAGTTTAACCGAATTTCAAAATTATCTTCAAAATTTTTGGGTCCAAAGAATTGAACCTTAAGGTAACATGAATGATATCTAACCACGGGAACCTACAATAGTTTTTTGTTGTTTATGTGCAATAATATATATGTATCTCATCAACTATTTTTAGTTTTCAAAAAAAAAAATGATAAAAATTATAGTCCAGCATTTCACTTTATTTTATGAACTTATTATGATGGAAACATTAATTTTACTTAAGATGAATTGAATATTTAATAATATTAATAACTTCAAAAATATGAATAATTAGTGACAAATGATTTAAAAACTTTAATTTTACCTTAAAAGGAAAATTTTATGCTTCAAAATACTTTCTATAACTCTTAAACAATGACCCATTGATCCGACCGGTAACCAAAAACTTAGTACCTAAACTGGGCTGATGTCCTTATTGAGTCTAATGACTATGGTTCCTGCTTTAGAAGAATTGCTTTTATCGAAGGCATGGAACTACTAATGACAGATAGTTTTGTCGAATTACGACAATCAATAACAAGACTTTCTGCATTGTACTTTTAGCACCATTTCTTTCCTTGAAATATTTCATTTATTTTTCTACTTTAAAGTCGGTTAAAAAAAAAAAAAACAAAAACAAAACAGAGTTCTTCAATATTAATGACACGTTTGGCATGTTTGATTTAATAAAAACATGTGATAGAATTCATCAAAATATTGAAAAACAACCACATCGAACAGCTATAGTCGATAGAGAACAAATATTGGAACAAATTACAGCAAGCATTGCATTAATAGATTAAGTTATCAACATGTGAATGCTCATCAGAAAAATTCCCAATGATAAGCCTCAAAATGATCAGTGTATGCCAATGTTGGTGTCACTAGCTCAATGTATGATGAATTCAAATATTTCTTGACAAAGCAAATTAAAAGCTGTATCTTGAGCAATGACCCGTACAACCTCAGCATCAGCGTAGTTTGGTCTTCTTCAGTTCCTGCAATTGAAGTGCTGCAGATATCTTCTTCCAGCAGTATATGCTGATGATTGTGGGAATTACAACCCAAGAAGCATTAGCTATAATGTAGTATGCGTAATAGTGATACATGCTCGCAGCAAAGTTGTCTCCTTCCAAGTAAGATGTGATGAAATATACAGCAGTTCCATAGAGCTGCCCCAAAGAAATGGACAGTTGGAGTGTGTACCTATACGACTTTTTTGTTGCAATAGCATACCTGCCAGTAAGATCGGGAATGAGTGGTAAGGAAAAGACACATAAAACTAGGTCCAGATCAAAAATCTGTAAGAAATTTTTATGTGCTGGTTTCAGTGCTGTTTCACTTTGGTACTGAAAATTTGTTTTGCTCCAAATTAATAACCGAAGATTCATTTTTGTTTTAATTTAATCAATTTGTCAACCCTGTACTAACAAGATGGTTGTAGCAATGGCAGTAGTGGGCAGGGGAGACTGCAGTGTGGTTGGGAGGCAGAGATTACAACTTTCCTTCTTTAATTACATTTTTTTGTTACTTACAAAAAGTGCATCAGGGGAAGCACAATTCGTCAAACAAGATACATTCTTGTTCATATAGATGACAAAAGCAATTGTTTTATAGACTGTAGTAGACAGAATGTCTTAACTGAAATTAAAATAGAAAAAAGTTTAGGGCCTAAAGTGAAGCAACGTAATGCTTCACTTGAAAGATAAAAGACTTCATAGTTTAGAACGTACACAGCAAGGAGAGAGGCTGGACCCTCTAAGACGGCAGTAATCCCTTCAACAGTGACGACACAAGAATCCCTTGCTGCATACCTTGAATCACCTTTGCTGTATTCTTTCCCTGCCATATTCATTTATAAGCAAAATATACAGCTGGGGGGTTTGCATCATCCCAACTAGGGAAATAAAAATTATGGGATGCAGCAGTTTGCAAAACTCACAAACTTCTGCAGGGTAAAACGAAGTCTTCTCCTTGTAGAATTCTGGGGAAAATACAAAATATCCCTCCAGGATAATGTGGGTCAGGCCCGTGAAAATCCACCAGCACATTAGCCGTCTCTCAGTTTTTGACATTTTTGGAAACCGCCCTAGCATTATAAAGAATAAGATGGAGAAATGAAAACAGATGGGTTTTCCAGAAGCAAATTAAATTTTATAGATAAAAAGGTCTCGAGAGAGCAATCTATTAGAGCAACCAGGCCAGCACATAATGTTTATGCTAAACCACTTCATCTAAAGTTTAACCAATTAGAGTGGAGACAAATTAATTTATTTGATTAGTGTCTTTAACACGCCATGTCATGTGCGGACTAGTTCCATTTTTTCATCAAGGCTAGACACATGCACAACTTTATAAATAGGTACCAGTAAAACTCGAACTCAAAACTTTTGCTTGCTTTGATACTGTACTGAACCTCCTCATCAGTTGGTTCAAATATTATGGTGGTCATAGCTTGACTACTAAAAACCTTTGTTTACTTGTAATGAGGTCAAAGTGGACTCGTGTACTTAAAATTCATTTCATAATATAGTTATCACCATAGAAGTACCAAAGGCAGAAAGAGCTTTTTTGAGCAGGCTAATGCCTACAATAGGATAATATATGATATAGTAGTTCAAGCCTCAAGGATTACCGGAGAGGATCCACATGAAGGAGATGACCAATAGAGAAGAGATTCCGAAAACGCTAATTATGGTTGATTGAGAGAGGCTCACAGGCACATAACCAGGCAATTTCAGATCTCTTGGAATGTAAGGGTGACCATCCTCTCCTTGCGTCTCCATTTTCCTGCCATGTGCAGTTCACTTCAATCAATACAGGGGCAATGCCTTTTCAAATGATAAATATCATATACATGAACATCTACAATTTGACCTAACAAATACTACCTTAGGTTCTATGAAACTAAAAAAAAAATCATCATTTAGAAGGCTCGAGATAATAATCACCAATATCCTTCTATTAACAGCTTCAATAACACTCGTCGTGATAAAATCCTTTAGTTTTTCAGCCAAATGGCATTTGGCATCTCTTATCAGTAGCCAAACCAGCCAAAATGGATTCGGAGAAAAATTTACATCATATGACTTATATGCATATACAATTGACTACCTTTGGCAACATTCCAATCTTCTTCATTTCATAAGCATAATCGTAAATCTAACACATTTAAAAAATTTATTTCTGTCCATTGTTGAGCAATCAACATCCCAAGGAAATGGCATCAAATATGGTATGAAGTAATTGACACTTGTTATTCATCATGACAAACAACAAAATGTAAAACATGAAATACACCACAGCCATGATGACTAAAACTACTTGTCCTGTTAATAGCTATTAATTCATTTTCAGCTACCTTTTAATTCTATTTGATTGAAACATACAGTAAGATCACTTTTACAAAAGGTTGTTTTGTTAAATCTCCTTTCACTCTTGGTACTCTGTGTGCATTTGAACTTTGAAGACTGTGCGTGTGTGCACATTGGCCAAAGGAAGCCTCATTTGAACAGGGAAAGGCAAATGTAAAACAAAAACTAGGTTATAGATCTACAGAATCTTGCTGGAATAAGTCAATATTCTTTGAGTTTGACTATTAAGCCTCCAGCTCTAACATTCATCCAGATGTGATGTGTGAGTGTGCACATTTGTTTGCTGAGAACCATCCAACAACCACAATAACTGTCTGGAATTGAGATATTTCAGCCACCTATGGCAACAAATCTCTTTTTTTTCTTAACCATAACTTATTCAAATATTGGTGACACTAAGTTCTAGATAGACCAAGACCGGGGTCATTCAATTAAATCTTATGTCCTTAACAATCCATTATTCTTATTAGTCCAGCAGAATGAAATAGTTGTAAAAAAAATCTAGAAGTGTTGCCACAAATATAAATATACATGCACAGAAACATATTTATGGATCGACACCTAACAAGATGTTAAACCAGGTTGAATACTATACGAAATGGGTGGGTAGGAATGCTCCAATGAAATTTGGAAAATTACAGTAAGGTCAGCAAAAAACCATTTCAAAGAACTCCATTTACACCATGATTGTTTTTATGCTCATTTTGTTGATTTGATTTGAAAATTCGAATTAACCAATCTTCTAATTTATCTAAAACACAATAATAATAGTTCACAAATTATCATTTATGGCATTCACTATTTTGTTCAAACAAGCCAGCTTTCTATCATTTATGCAGATTGACTATCTTAAACTCAAAATCACATAATATTTGGAGAAAAATTAATTCTTTTAGTCACTTAATTCAAAGATAGTTACTCAAACAATCATAAATAACTTTGTAAAAACTAAAAAAAGCGGAGCCTTATGCATAAATTTCTCATAACTAAAAAAAAATGAAAAACAAAGATAGATCATATTGAACAATAGGAATTGCGCTATTTCTATTTCTATTTCAAGTCAATTAAGAGTTGAAATCATAAAAAAGAGTGGATCCCATTAAACTAAAACTACACTCCTCATTCATTAGGCCCTTTTTCTTCTCGTTTTCCCCTAACCTCCGCTCTCAAAGTAAAATCGAGATTTAAAATCCAACATTCTACAACATAATACAGCAGAGCCAATAAGCAACGAAATTGCATGCTAAAAAGTTTCAAATTTCGGCTTGATTTGTAAAATGTTAGAAAAAGAAAGGCATATCATTGTACACTTACAGATATTTTCACAAAGAGAACCACTTTGTTGTCGACCCCCACAAAAAATCTTCAGTGAAAAATGAAGGAAAAAGTGGGATTAGATTTGGCTGTTGAGTGTTGACTAGGAACCGGAGAAAGAATGGAGAGATAATTAGAGAGAGAGAGAATAATAGATCCGATCTTCCTTTTCTATCCTTTTTCGGGTTTTGAATTATTGACGGCGTGGGTTAAAGTCAACGGCTCAATAAGGAAAATCACCGTAGAGGCATATACGTCATTTTGTGTTTAGTGGTTACTTTTTGGGATTAATTACTTGAATGATCACTGAACCTTAGGTGAAGTTTTTGTCGAATCACTGAATTTTAAAAGTTACTTCGTTAATCACTGAACTTTGTAATTCATTTGTTTCTAAATTGCTATTGATGTGGACGTCTAGTGGTAAATAGATTGCCATGTATATAATTTCATTAGCCACACAATAAATCGTCAATTTTTAATCGTCCATTGAATGAGTAATGGATGGAATAATGAATTGTCAAGTTCAATAATTAATGGGATAATTTTTAAAGTTTGGTGACCCAGTAAAAACTTTACGCAAAGTTCAGTGACGATTCAGATAATTAACTCTACTATGTATGTATGAAAATTTGGAAACCCTAAAGGAGGCTCGGAACGATCTAGCCTATACTCGATAAGGAAAGTGATAAGTTTGATTGTCTAAACTCTTGGTCTACCTAAAGTGCATTGCTATGAAAACATCTATGTGTACAAATACCCAATATTAGCCTCCGTTTGGGGGAAAAAAAATAAAATACAATTATGAAGCATTTTATAAAGAAAATAGAACAATTTCATAAAATTTATAAATTATAAATGAATAGTAATTATGAATGTGTGATTAAAATTTATATTTCATTTTTGATTGAATTGATAAATTATTTATAAATTGATAGCCAAAAGGAGGGTTAGATTTTTTTCCCCCTTTAAGTGATATTCATTTTGTAAGATGCACAATCAGTACTTAGTAGATTATTTATGTATATCTTTTGTTAATTTAAAGGATTTTTTTAGAAGATAACTCTTTTTGTCAAGTTAAAGGCAAGAAATTAGGGGGGGGGGGGGGGGGAAGCACAAATAATTAAATATAATGACTTTATTTTTTTCTTTGTTAGTGTTGCTTAATTGAGTAATGTTCCTCTACTAGGTCTGTAAAAGGCCTGGTAGAGGAGTTCCTCTCCCATTTTCTCTCACCTCGACGGGCCCCATGACTAGAAAAATACCCTCCAAAAGCTCACCTCCACCCCAAACTGTCAGAAGGGATGCACTATCAGGCCTCTTACAAATTTGGTAGTGTAGCATGGTCCTGCTTAATTAAATAAAAGAGGGACACTTTTAAATTTTGTACCGCAAAAATTAGATGTACAAATCAATGTCTCTTGCAGTGTGTATGCATATGTTGTGTTAGGCAAATAGCAATTTTTATTTTTATTCTTTCGATAGTTATTTTTCATTGAAATTAGGTGTAAGTGTGTAACCTATTTTACATCTCATGTTATGGTTCAATTTTAATAGTAATTTTAACTTGATGTAACAAAGTTGAAAAGATGAGAATTAAAATTTCACAAATTAAATGTCAAAAAGTGACTTAACTACATATGTTGGGGGACCTCCGATGCATTTTTATAGAAAAGAATACATCGTTCTCTCAAAATCTTCATATTAATATTTCATCCTTGCCTATGAACCACGGCCTTTTCGAGCAAGCATGATATAATAATATTTCACCATCTTCGTTGATATTGTTCAAAGTAACATCACAACTATCAAGTATGGGTTCTGTGCTCGAGTTCTTTAACATTTTTATTTTATTATTAATACCTGCAAAAAATAGATAGCAAGAAGTGTATCAAGGTCCCCTAGACGTTTTATAAAAAGAGGGGATATACATGTCATTTATGTGTAAGTTAGAATTGACATATTATTTACATTGATTCTAGACATTTTTCATAAAGCCCTCTATAGTGGTCTTAATGATAATAAGAGTATGAAACATTACTAGTGCTTTTTTTTTTTTTATCGATAAATGTGAACTATATTGATCAAAAGAATGTATAGTTACTCCGGGCATTCCTGGGGTAAAATCAAATCAAAACCATAAACAAATACTTCGGCATTCTCAGGTAAAACAAAATGAGAAAAAGAGAACAACATATACAAACTAGATACCCATAGCTACCAATTCATATTGAATTAAAACATTCGAATACAAAGAAAACGTGACTTTGTATAAGTCTGTTTTAATCCGTCGTACAGTGCTATCAAAATGCGGTATAAGATCCTCAAAAATCTTCTTGTTCCTTGTCATCCAAATGTGGTAGACGGTCGTAGTAAGTGCAATACGCTTTATTTTGTTGTGCCAAAATGTTCCCCTACTTTCCTTTTTGATCCATTTGAGAGCACTAGGAAGTGTAGACATTAATATTTATAGATGAAAATAAGTCATTATATTATTACAATTGTAGCATATGCATTTTGATAATTTGAAAACATAGTATAATTACATCATTATTAATACTGTCAAAATGAGTTTTGTTACTTGTATAGTTTTGTTTACCACCTGATTGACAAATGCTAAGCTGGTGACGAATTAGGGGCATTTTACTTATTAAAAACAAAAATTTGGGGTAGAGAGCTCAAAAAATAACTTCGCAAGAAGTTTAATTAGTCCTACTTAATCCACTCTATTCGACAAGTAAACCCAAATTAATATCGTTCGATCTGGAAGAATGAAACAAATGTACAAAGTCCATTCATATCTAATAACCCAAACCAATGGTGTCCTTAAAAGTATTTTTAGAGATGACAATTTGAACCGTCAAAAAAAAATCGCGGTTAACAGAACTGAATGGGGTGAAAAAAACCAAACCGATAGTGCAATGAGGTGGATATGGTATTTGGTTTTAATTAACCGATTCGGGTCGGTGCAGGTATGGTATTTACGCGCGTCGTCTCAAACCGAACCAATTACTCGTTAAATTTATTTTTTTCCATCTAAATAATAACCCAATGCAAAACATGTGTAAAAAAAAAAAAAAAAAAAAAAAAAAACAAACTTCTAATTTTGCAAACTCCACAGGGACCTTTTTTCTTCCTTTACAGTGACACATAATGGTTATCAACTCACTCGCTCTTGAAGCAAATTCAATCAACAATTTCAGTTTCAAAAAACTTATTCTCTTACAGTAAATTTGATCATTTAATTAGTTTTAGGCATTTGAATTGGCTTGAAATTAAGTATACATAGTCTTTGTCTTTCTTTATTTTGTCATCAGTAACCTAGACATCACCCTTGGTACCATAAATCGCCGCCTTCTTACAGATGTACCCTCTATCGACTATTTGTACAATTTTGAATTGGTAAGTGATCAACAATGCAAATTGTTTGAGGTGCTCCAATATAATTCACTCGACTATTCGTTGATAACCATCATGTGTGACTTTTTTTCATAAATTATTTTTTTAAATTTGACGACTGGACTTATGAAAAATAATTTATTTTCATGAATATTAACTGTCCCGAATCGAGCCGAACCGAATCGAAACCAACTTACTTGGTTATGGTGCGATTATTGTATAGCAAAAAAATTAGTGGTTCGGCGATGGTTTTGACCGAACCGTTGCCAACCCTGAGTATTTCTTAGTTCATGTTAAAAATTTCTAAACTCGAACATTAAGAGCAATCTGAAAGATATGAGTAGTTCTAATCTAATCTTTAAGAAATATGAATGTAAAAAAACAAGAAATAAAAATCAGTTACTTGGGAGGAGGCTTGACTAAATCATTAGAGTAAGAAATTGTAAGTGTTATGTCCTAAATCCAATCAATTTTGAATATAAACACTTTTATTATATAATTAATGTAATTTTATAACAGATCTATGACTTAATTAACATTAAATTAAATTAAATAATAGAAGCCGTAGATTCAAATTTTAATAATTTGTTAATTACAAATTACATATGATTGAATCTTAAATCATCTGTAGCATTTACATAATAACGAGATATGGATATGTTATTACGAACAGACTATCACGTGTGATATTTCTAACTTGTAAAGTAAGCAACTGATCTCACAAGCTAAAATGTAGTGAAACTTAAATGAGAACAAAACATTGAAGACCCGCCGGGAGATTCCATATGAATAACTATCTAGTGTCAGTAGTTAATCTCTAACGTTTTATAGTGAAATTAGTTCTTTGACTTGAGGTCATCATAATGTCTTATATGAGGACAACCATACTTCGATGATGTTGGATATTGCTCTATCAAGGGCCACTAATATGTTATCGTTCGGGTATGTCAAGAATCATATAAAAGTTGTGAAAAGATCAATAAAGGATTAATCACTTTGAGATAGTAAAATATTATAATTTACATTTTTATGCAGTTAAGCTGACAATGAAATTCTTGGCCAATGTATATAAGTCGAAAAGGAATTTTCAACTTACATTGATCTAATAATGGAATAAAAGATATAATCGATAATTGAGATTGACACATATCCATATTGCATAATCGATCAAATGATATTAACGAAAGGAATATAGTTTCATACGTTTGATTTTGTCATACCACGTGACATTTCTCATCACACGTATTGCTCTAACACGTTGTTATATGTCAATTTGAGATGACGAATGTAAATTTATCGATATTGATTACATCAAAAATAAAATAATAAATATTTAACGTTGTTAATTAGTAATTTAACTAGGCACATTAAATTTATCATATTCATTTAAATTCATTCAAAAAATCAAATAAATTCAAGAAATAGATTTATGTCGAGCTGGTTGAATTGATCTAAGGGTCCGTTTGATTACAAAAATGGAATTTGAGTGGAAAGAAAATGAATTCCGGGGAATTGAATTATCTAGAAATTGTTTTCCTGTGAATTGTAAATTATTGTGTTTGATTGGTATAATTTTTCACGTGAAAAATGTTGAAATTAAAATGTTTTTTTAGTGTTCGTTTAATTTTGTTTTATATAAAAATTGTCAATTAAAGGGATAAAATTTATTGGTATTGGGGAAGAAATTTGTTTCCCTTGTCAAAACAAAAAAATAAAAAATAAATTCAAGAAAATCATCTATCTTTTAATGTTCATTTGACTTATTTTACATAAAAATTGTCAATTAAAGGAAAAAATTACAATAATTCTTAGAATTTATTTCCATTGTAAGAAAAAAATCAACGGTAGCCAGAAAATTCAATTCCACCTCAAAAGCAAGAAAGGTGTAGCTCCCAAGAAATTCAAGAATTTCTATTCCATGGAAAATATACTCCTATCAAACGCACCAAAGTTGGAAAATGTCACCCAAATTCCATTTTCCATGAAAATGTTTTGCTAATCAAATGGTGCCTAAGGTCAAAATGAAAACTAAGCCCTTGTTTGAGTCATATTCTTTTGGAAAAATACATTTTTCAACAGTGTGTTTGACATCATTTCAATCACACATTCTTCAATAAAATAATATTACAAGTAAATTCAAAACTTTTCCTTATTTTTTGACCACACATTTTCCATCAATACACTATTTAAAAATTCATTAAACTCACAAAAATGGGGCTGAAACAAGGGCTAAAATGAAAAATTGACAAGCATAAAAGAAAAGAAAAAAATTGTCAATTTTCATTGGAAACGCTCGTAGCGAAGTTATACGTACAGAACTGAAGCTCTTTTGGCAAAAGGAAACAGCCTTCGACTCGTAGTTGAAAGTTGGAACATCTCAAAGATACTTCTTTAAATTCAAGAGTAAGCACCGACATATCTCGATTCGCGTCAATTGTTTCCCCTTTCAATATAATTTTTGTTCATAATTCACACACTTACTGTAACTGCTATTTATATTTGTCTCTCATGTTTTTTCCCGGCGAATTTCAGTCAAAATTGGAGGTGGGTTTCAATGGGTTGCGTAATTCTTTTCTGTTACGTGTTCTAAGAGTTGGGTTCGCGTGATTTTTGAATTTGAGATGAAATGTCTTGGAAACGTTGATTGCTTGTTTAAAGCTATCGTTCTAGCTAGATACTTCTTTAAATTCAAGAGTGAGCACCGACATTTCTCGATTCGCGTCAATTGTTTCCTCTTTCAATATAATTTATGCTCATAATTCACACACTTACTGTAACTGTTATATATATTTGTCTCCCATGGTTTTTCCCGGCGAATTTCTGTCAAAATTGGAGGTGGGTTTTAATGGGTTGGGTAATTCTTTTCTGTTACGCGTTCTAATAGGTGTGTTCGCGTGATTTTTGAATTTGAGATGAAATGTCTTGGAAACGTTGATTGCTTGTTTAAAGCTATTGTTCTAGCTAGATTCTTTCCTCATTTCTGTGTTAATGTATTTGGCTGATCGTTTAGAGTATAAAATGCAATTGAATCACGTGATGTAACTAATGCATCCATATTTTTCTCTCATGTTTTTTGTGTTGAATTTTAGTCAAAAATTGGATGTGGATTTTAATAGGTCAGGTAATTCTTCTCTAATATGCATTCTAAGAGTTGAATTCATGTGATTTTTGAATTTTAGCATGAAAATGTTGAGGGAATGTTGATCGCTTGTTTAAATTAACTGTTATTACTAATTTTAACCTACCTCTCTTGTGCATAGATTGCTTCTTTCTCGCTGCATTTGGCTACTTGTTTAGCAGATAAAGTGTAATCGTCTTGTGCCTTAAATAAGGCTTCCTCTGGAAAATGGATTTCACAGAGAGGAATATCTGAAAGGGAAGGAAAACAAATCAAAATCCAAAATTGATTTTCCTTGCTTTATCTACTATAACTAAAGCAAACTTGAAAATTTTCTAGCGACGATAGTTGAAGTCACGAAATATGAAAAGGAAATGATCAATTAACTCGAAAAGTTTTACAATGTTTATGTTTAAATATTCATTTCCATAATCTTTTCCTTTCTAGCCATATGCTGTAGAAGCTTTTATTTAATTATTTCTTCTATTTTCCTTGTTTTTTGGTGTTCGTTTGATTTTGTTTTACATGAAAATTGTCAATTAAAGGGATAAAATTTACTGGTATTGAGGATAGAATTTGTTTCTATTGTCAAAAAAAAAAACCCAAGAAAAATATCTATCTTTTGGTGTTCATTTACCTTTGTTTTACATGGAATTTATCAATTAAAAAGGGAAAAAAATTACAATAATTCTTAGAATTTATTTCCATTGTAAAAAAAAAAAAAAATCAACAGTAGCCAGAAAATTCAATTCCACCACAAAAGCAAGAAAGGTGTAGCTCCCAAAAAATTCAAGAATTTCTATTTCATGGAAAATATACCCCTATCAAACACACCAAAGTTGGAAATTGTCACCCAAATTCCATTTTCCATGAAAATGTTTTGCTAATCAAATGAAAAATTCAAGAATTTCTATTTCATGGAAAATATACCCCTATCAAACACACCAAAGTTGGAAATTGTCACCCAAATTCCATTTTCCATGAAAATGTTTTGCTAATCAAACGGTGCCTAAGGTCAAAATGAAAACTAAGCCCTTGTTTGAGCCATATTTTTTTGAAAAAAATACATTTTTAACAGTGTTTTGACATCATTTTAATCACACATTCTTCAATAAAATAATATTATACGTAAATCCAAAATTTTTCCTTATTTTTTGACCACACATTTTTCATCAATACACTGTTCAAAAATTCATTAAACCCACAAAAATGGGGCTGAAACAAGGGGTAAAATGGAAAATTGACAAGCATAAAAGAAAAGAAAAAATTTGTCAATTTTCATTGGAAACGCTCGTAGCGAAGTTATACGTACAGAACTGAAGCTCTTTTGGCAAAAGGAAACAGCCTTCGACTCGTAGTTGAAAGTTGGAACATCTCAAAGATACTTCTTTAAATTCAAGAGTAAGCACCGACATATCTCGATTCGCGTCAATTGTTTCCCCTTTCAATATAATTTCTGTTCATAATTCACACACTTACTGTAACTGCTATTTATATTTGTCTCCCATGTTTTTTCCCGGCGAATTTCAGTCAAAATTGGAGGTGGGTTTCAATGGGTTGCGTAATTCTTTTCTGTTACGTGTTCTAAGAGTTGGGTTCGCATGATTTTTGAATTTGAGATGAAATGTCTTGGAAACGTTGATTGCTTGTTTAAAGCTATCGTTCTAGCTAGATACTTCTTTAAATTCAAGAGTGAGCACCGACATTTCTCGATTCGCGTCAATTGTTTCCTCTTTCAATATAATTTATGCTCATAATTCACACACTTACTGTAACTGTTATATATATTTGTCTCCCATGGTTTTTCCCGGCGAATTTCTGTCAAAATTGGAGGTGGGTTTTAATGGGTTGGGTAATTCTTTTCTGTTACGCGTTCTAATAGGTGTGTTCGCGTGATTTTTGAATTTGAGATGAAATGTCTTGGAAACGTTGATTGCTTGTTTAAAGCTATTGTTCTAGCTAGATTCTTTCCTCATTTCTGTGTTAATGTATTTGGCTGATCGTTTAGAGTATAAAATGCAATTGAATCACGTGATGTAACTAATGCATCCATATTTTTCTCTCATGTTTTTTGTGTTGAATTTTAGTCAAAAATTGGATGTGGATTTTAATAGGTCAGGTAATTCTTCTCTAATATGCATTCTAAGAGTTGAATTCATGTGATTTTTGAATTTTAGCATGAAAATGTTGAGGGAATGTTGATTGCTTGTTTAAATTAACTGTTATTACTAATTTTAACCTACCTCTCTTGTGCATAGATTGCTTCTTTCTCGCTGCATTTGGCTACTTGTTTAGCAGATAAAGTGTAATCGTCTTGTGCCTTAAATAAGGCTTCCTCTGGAAAATGGATTTCACAGAGAGGAATATCTGAAAGGGAAGGAAAACAAATCAAAATCCAAAATTGATTTTCCTTGCTTTATCTACTATAACTAAAGCAAACTTGAAAATTTTCTAGCGACGATAGTTGAAGTCACGAAATATGAAAAGGAAATGATCAATTAACTCGAAAAGTTTTACAATGTTTATGTTTAAATATTCATTTCCATAATCTTTTCCTTTCTAGCCATATGCTGTAGAAGCTTTTATTTAATTATTTCTTCTATTTTCCTTGCTGAAATCTGTTTTTTTAGTTTATTACATTTTTCTGCAATATACCCTGGGAATATGCCTCAAAATTTATCATCATCCTGCATAGGGATATAAGTGTGTTACTGCTATATGGTATATGTCTGAGAGTTGTCTTGTCCATTGGTATCTGACTTGTGTTCATCCTAATGTAATTTACTCTAGCTTGTTGTCAGTGTAATCTTATGTCGATTTCCAAAGATAAACTTGAACTTTGTATCATTTTACTGTACCAGAAAATGATAATTACACTTAGTTGAGTTCACAAAAATGCATTTCTGGCTTTATCTGTTTCATAGTAATTTTTGCACTTGATTATGTTGCAGTGGAGGTAGATCAGGGAGACACAATAGCTGACAGCAATGCTGAAGGAAATGATGGTGAGTTAGAAGGGAGTGAAGAGTTTGAAGGTGAAGAGAACTATGGGAAATTGGAAGAAGATGACGATGTTGAAGCTGAGGATAATACCAGTCAGGTGGAAGGTGGTGAAGTTCTTGAACCATATGTGGGAATGGAATTCGAGTCAGAAGGTGCTGCAAGGAGCTTTTACAATGATTATGCGAGGAGGATAGGATTTGTTGTGCGTATAATGCAACGTCGTCGTTCTGAGATTGATGGTAGAACTCTTGCTCGCCGACTCGGATGTAACAAGCAGGGCTTTTCCGCCAGCAATAAAGGGAAAATTGGGCCAGACAAAAAACAACGCCCTAGTGCACGTGAAGGATGCAAGGCAACTATACTCTTTAAGGTGGAGAAATCAGGAAAATGGGTTGTTACAAGATTTGTCAAGGATCATAACCATCCTCTTGTTGTTACTGCTCACGAGTATTCTAAAACAGTAAGTTTTCAAGACACGCGTGCAATAAAAAAAATTGTTCCTTCTCTTTAGTCCGTTCTTTGCTTGTTGCTTGTTGCTTTATATTTCCCAAGTTAAGAAGATATCTGGGTTTGTTCTGCATACCCATCTCTTGAAAAGGGGTCATTTTTTGTATTTTCTAAATACTGTGTTACTATTTTTCTTAAGAATTACTTAGCCCCTGTGTTTTCTCTTTGTTCTCTCTTTTAGATATGGATGGTAATGGTTACTCCTTGCAATTTTAGTGAGTACATCTATATAGTCATGTCTTTTAATCCTCCAAAGGAACAAGAGCAGGATGGAACACTAGGGGGAGTATAGTTTTGATCCACCATTTGTCAAACTTAAAATTATCTTAGACTTTATTATTGAATTTTCCAGTGTCTACCCAATCTTGACATTTACAAATGCTGGCATTGTTATGTAGTAATATCCTTAGATTTTCCAAAAGGAACGAGTCATCCTCAAATTATCGAACTTTGAAGCAAGTCTTGTGTATCGTCCGAGAAGTAATTAATTTGTCGTGCCTTCTGTCTTGAGGTTTCATGTTCTCTGTTTCTTTTCCATTGCTATTGCCCCGAGGGTGATAGGAAACACTATTTAGTTTGGAGTGATCCAAACTAGGAAAGGCAAAATTTGATTTGCTTAACCTTCGATGTTATTTAGTGTTTCATTATGTGTAAATGATGAGTATAAGAAATATGTGACAGCATTTATTTTCTTTAATGTTTTCAATTATTGTATAATCCGTTGGATTATAAATTAATGGTAGATCAGAAATATGGTCCTTAGGCTAATAGGCGTAAGTACCACCCGTTGTGAAACTGATATGCCCCCAAGTACATTCACATACACAAGGCGCAAGGCACACGGTGGAGCCAACCATATGACAACAGGGCACAGTAGTAACTTCTAGAATTATGCTAGGGTCACTCATTTTGTTAGGAGCTTTTATTCATTTTGTTAGGAGTCAGTTAAAAGGGCGGTATATGTAAGGATGAGGGTGAGAGGGAAGGCACGAAATGATTAGTGAGAAAGAGAACACTGGAGGAATCTGCCTTTTAGTGCTGGAGCATCATTCATTTTCTTTTTATCATTTTACAGTCTACAATTCCACTTTGAATACAATCCTGAAAATTCCCCAAAATAATATCTTCTTCAAGTGATTTCTGTTACATTCCTGCAGCCATGAGCCTTGAATCTGTCTGTTCTGAGATAAACTTCTCCATCTGCACATCAGCAGAACCCAAATCCATCAGAAAGACTAGATTTCTAATGTCAATCATGTATGGAGTATGATTTGCTATGTGAATCTAGCCATAATTTAAGTTCCTGGCGATTATGGAGAGCCTTTTTTAGTTATTTTAAAAATTACTTTTTCCTGTCATTGTGAAAGATGCAAGATAAGGCCTTTGGGAAGAAGAAAAGAAAATATTTTCTACACTATCATAATATGAAATGGTTAACGTTTGGAATCTAAGGGGGTGTATTCAATTGTGACTTTTGAAAAAAAAGGGTATCCCTTGGATTCCAAATTTATTTGGAATAGGCTTAGTCCATTGTTGTTAATAGGTGAAAAGAGAAAATGGATGGATTTTAGGACAATAGGATAGTATAAGGAATAGTGGAAGCAGGACATATTCCATTACGATTTGATATCTTCAGGAACCCATTAACAGAAAAGTTCATGCATACAGATAGGGTAGCTAGGGCCGTTGTTTAATGAATCAGCACTGGTAACAGGGATGATACTTGAGAATGTAATCAATGGGGGCATAAAATTTACGTGGAGTCAGTGTTAGATTTGATACACTTCATAATGGGAATGTGTTAGCAGCACATTTGACTTACATGGTATGCTGTTTGCTAAATTATTATTTCAAAAATTTGTGTTATGAAATGCGTCCGGTTTACATGAAATTGAAAAAATAGTAGCCGACTCTGAGTTTGAAGGTTTTTTTGTTTTCTTTTCGTGCCTGTTCCCTTCTGATAGTATTAGGTATGCACTTAGAAATCTTCAACATTTGTGCACCTTTTATCAGCGGGTAGCTTGCCTCATCCACAATTGAAGTGTTTGCTTGAATTAAAGGGTTTGATGATATTAATTTTGTTAACAAAGCCTTTTTGTGCATTCAGTACATAGGGAAATTAGGTGAAAGTGATCCTCACAAGGGGCCGGGCCGGTTTGTCTTAAACAAGTAGTCCAGTGATCATTAAAAGCATAGTGTCTCAAATCATAAAATAGTAGAGGGCATAGTTGATTTGTTTCTTTATGCTATGCACATTTTTTTTCTTGTTCAGCAAACTCTGTTTCTAAGAATAGTTGTTCTTTTTATTCATTGGTGTAGCATGATAAAGATGAGAAGATTCAACAACTTACTCGAGAGTTGCATAGGCAGGATCAGCTCTGTACTGCATATAGAGAAAGATTGCTTAATTTTCTAGCAAGTGTTGAGGAACAAGCTCAGCAGTTGTCTTTAAAAGTACAAGAAGTTGTGAACAATGTGAAAAGGGCGGAAGCTGAAGAAGCACAAGTTTCGTCTTGTAGATAGACCTTAGCAGTTTTTTTACCCTACACGTGTGTTAATATTTGTCTATAGTCCAACTCAGTTTCACTACAGAATTAACTGCATTGTGCTCTATTCTTTTGTCTGAAAATGATATATGAGATGTACTCTGTTTTCCGATGCATGCTTACTCAAGTCGTCTGATTCAGACACGACCAGACCGCCTTCTGGTTGCTCGCGTCTCCTTAGAGAGAGATGTACTGTATTTTTGTAATTTATAAGTTGGGGGAANGACACGACCAGACCGCCTTCTGGTTGCTCGCGTCTCCTTAGAGAGAGATGTACTGTATTTTTGTAATTTATAAGTTGGGGGAATACTAGAAATCATTTGTACAAAATTGAGCATTACAATGGAATCATCTATCATATCATTTATTAGTATTTCTGTATCGCTAAAGTTGGAACCATCTACTATTTTAAACAGCTTTAACAAATTAATATATATCAAAAATATTTTTCTATATTTTTTGACAGGATAGATAATATTTACACCAAAGTTTTTATATTAATGCATCATAATTTAATTGCATTACTTTTACTTATTACACACTTGCGTTTCCAACATTTTTCATTGCATTCTTGTTATCAACATTAGATTTATTAACGCATTTATGATGACGACAAGGTTCTAAAATGCATGACAATGTATTATCATCGAGCATTAAATATTACAAGCTATATGAAGCATATGCCTAATTTTGCATTTTTCAGATTTAATATTTATTTTAAATACTCTAAACTAATAAATAAATAAAAATAATACATTATTTGAACTTCATATTCTTCAAATTTCCAACAAAAAAATATTGCTCAAAATTATAAATACTACAATTACTCGGTAATCAATTTTTGCAATTAGATTAACCCCTTATTTGAGCCCCATTCTTTCCAAAAGATTACATTTTTTATTAGTGTATTGATGGAAAATGTGGGGTTAAAAATAAGGAAGAGCTTTAGATTTGCATATAATATTTATTTTATTAAAAAATGTGTGGTTGAAATGACGTCAAAACACTGTTCAAAAATGTAATTTTTTCAAAGAATGGGGCTCAAACAAGGGCTAAAACACGGACACCAATTTAAAATCTTTTTTCTAGATCTTGTCTAATTGATTCCAATTCAATCACCTGTTCTTCATCTAAATCATCTTCACCGAGCTTTCTTGCTTCAATTGAAGAATTTCAATTACCGCTTGTAGATGGTAAAATATTATTGTCAATATCCTCTTCATCATCACAACCATTAACAATAAAAAATTGTGCATTATTAGCATCACTTCTTACTAAAATTAGAGGAAGACGACTGGCGAAGAAAAAGGAGGATCAAATTCCGCAAAGATAGTTTGCTACCCTAAAAAAGTATGTTTTGATTTTTTATTTTTCTAAACATCAAAATCTACATATTCCAGTATATAATTAATGGGCTTGGGCAATTTAGGCTAATTAGATGCTAATTTTGGCTCAATTTGCCCATTTTAGTTACAAAAATGGGTTGGACATTGATATGCTAATTTTGACTTAATTTTAACACAAATGCATGCTCATTTTGAAGTTTAAGCGCGCATATTTAATCAACAAAATGGGTTGATCACTTTACCATGCACATATCCCACATGCGAGCATATGCAAAGCATATGCGCATATTTTAAAATACTGAAGCGTAATTATGCATTTTTCAGATTTATTATTTATTTTAAATATTTTAAACTAATAAATAAATAAAAATAATACATTATTTGAACTTCATATTCTTCAAATTTCCAACAAAAAAATATTGCTCAAAATTATAAATACTACAATTACTCGGTAATCAATTTCTGCAATTAGATTAACCCCTTATTTGAGCCCCATTCTTTCCAAAAGATTACATTTTTTATTAGTGTATTGATGTAAAATGTGGAGTTAAAAATAAGGAAGAGCTTTAGATTTGCATATAATATTTATTTTATTAAAAAATGTGTGGTTGAAATGACGTCAAAATACTGTTCAAAAATGTAATTTTTTCAAAGAATGGGGCTCAAACAAGGGCTAAAACACGGACACCAATTTAAAATCTTTTTTCTAGATCTTGTCTAATTGATTCCAATTCAATCACCTCTTCTTCATCTAAATCATCTTCATTGGGCTCTCTTGCTTCAATTGAAGAATTTCAATTACCGCTTGTAGATGGTAAGATATTATTGTCAATATCCTCTTCATCATCACAACCATTAACAATCAAAAATTGTGCATTACTAGCATCACTTCTTACTAACATTAGAGGAAGACGACTGGCGAAGAAAAAGGAGGATCAAATTCAGCAAAGATAGTTTGCTACCCTAAAAAAGTATGTTTTGATTTTTTATTTTTCTAAACATCAAAATCTACATATTCCAGTATATAATTCATGGGCTTGGGTGATTTAGTCTAATTAGATGCTAATTTTGGCTGGCTTGGGTGATTTAGGCTAATTAGATGCTAATTTTGGGTCAATTTGCCTTTTTTAGTTACAAAAATGGATTGGACATTTATGTGCTAATTTTGACTTAATTTTAACACAAATTTATGCTCATTTTGAAGTTTAAGCGTGTATATGTAATCAACAAAAACGGGTTGATCATTTTGCCATGCACATATCCAACATGCGAGTATATGCAAAGCATATGCGCATATTTTAAAACACTGGATGACGATATTAGTCCAAATATTTAGGCACTTTTGAGGGTGATTTTTTTTTAATTTAAAAATATGATGGATAAATAAGCCCTTTTATATCATCTTGAAAAAATATTTGCACAAAAATCATCACCATTACGAGATATAATATTTAATGGAATAGTGAGAATGAGATTCATAAGAATGTGATGAAAAAGTCGGAAATACAAGTATAACAATAAATAAAATAGAGGCTTTTGATACAGTATAAAAACTTGATGTAATTATAAAAGTTTATGGTTTAAAATATGTATAATCCACATAATAATATTACTAAGACTATAATCTATTTTGTTACTCAAATATCAAGTCTCCATATATTGTTAAATTTCGGCTTATAATTAATAGAGAGAGAACCCATAAAATTAGAAAAATATATTTAGAAAATGAAAAGATCCTCATACATAAATTTGATTTACTTATAATTAGCAAACAAATTTGGGAACAAATAGAGAAAGAAATCAAACTAAGCCCCCGTTTGAGCCCCATTATTTGGAGATTATAATATTTTGAATAGTGTTTTTTTTAAAATTAAGTAGTTGAAAAGAAAAGAAAAGTTTTTGGTTTACGTGTAATATTATTTTATTAAAAATTGTGTGGTTGAAAATAGGAGAAAGAAAAATTTAATTTAATTTAATGAGAAATAATGGGGGCCAAAAGTACAAAAAATAAGTTTTATATAGAATTTTAAATTAGTACTAAAAGTAAATATCGATGCACAAGTAGTCCTTACATTATTCTTTTAACTCAAAACATCTAGGGGCGGAGCTACAGAAAGTTCAGTGCAGGCCGATGCCCGCCCTGGACTTTGGACTTGACACAAGAAATTTCGTCGTGCCTGCACTGGACCAAGAAGAAAAGAAGAAGAAGAAGAAGAAAAGAGAAGAAAGAAGAAGAAAAAATGGCCGGAGGAAGAAGAGCTACACTTACAGTTGCTGAAGGGAAGAAGAAGGGATGGAGGAAGAAGAGTTTAGTTGGGCCAATTTTTTAATTTTTTAGATTTTAGGTCTTCTCTTTAGTTAGGCTTTTTGAAAAAAATAAAAAAAGGAAAAATAACGCAAAACCCTACTTATAAACTTTACATTTCAAAACTAGGGTGATTAGGTTTAATTTTCTAAAATCAGGTGTTAATTATTTATTTTAAAATTAATAATAATTATAAACTAATTGTTCATTTACGTGATGAAATCTGGACAGTCCATATTTGAATTACACTGTTTTCATATTACTTCTACACGTAATCATCGATCATCCAACCCACGTCATTCGTGTTATACCATAAACTGCCTTTCTCTTTCTCTATGATGCAGTGCAGTGCAGAAATCACGTTCTTCTCTCTTTCCTTCTCTCTATCTCTATCGGGGAATACAGAAACGACGTTGCTCTCTCTCTCTCTAATATAGTAAAGTAACCTCCCACTCCGTTTCTCCACTACTACGAACTGCACAATATATCGTCATTTATTAAATTTTAGTTTCAACAATAGTTGTATTTGGAATGGCAAAAACTCGTAGTGTTGGTGCGAAAGTGATGGAGAAGGATAAAGGAAAGAGAAAATATGTTGAAGGAGATTCTTTTCCAACAAAGAGAGTTAAAATGTCGTCCTTTGGCGGGAAACCCATGAAAAAGGTGAACTTCGATTTTGTGACCTATTATTTGAGTAGTTTGTGACCTGATTTGGGCATTCTGCGTAGGAAATATAATTTTGTGACCTGTTTTAGGTATTTTGTAATTTGAAGGTTTTGTGACTTATTTTATGTATTGCATGATTGTGACTTTCTACTTGTTTGTGTTATGATTTTGGAAAATTTGTGACCAACTATTTTATGATATGGCAGGAAACCCATGAAAAAGGTGAACTCCGATTTTGTGACCTAATTTCTGAAATTTGTGACCTATTATTTGAGTAGTTTGTGACCTGATGTGGGTATTTTGTGTAGGAAATATTATTTTGTGATCTGTTTTAGGTATTTTGTAATTTGAAGGGTTTGTGACTTTTTCATGTACTGTGTGATCAATTACTATTTATTTTAATCGAATGTGTTTTCTAAGGAGTGCTGGGTTGTTTGCGAATGAAATAGGTGTTGTGACTTTTTACTTCTTTGTATTATGATTTTGGAAATTTGTGACCAACTATTTATGAGTTGGTCACAGCGAAATGTTTGTGTGTTGAAGGTCAGAGTAACATTTTTTATTTTACGATTGTGCAGGACTGGAAATACTTAATAAAACCAAGGTATTGGTTTTCTAGAAAGATCACCACAACGCCAATACAGAGCGTGATTACGCACTTTGTGATGAAATTTAGTGTTGCCCAGAGGGCAATTCTAGAAAACACATGTTTCTCTTACTACAAGCATTGTACGGAGATAGTTGTGCAACCACAATTGATTCACCAAGTTTGACTACGGGAGGTCAAGCAACCGAACAAGCAGGAGATGTGGTTTAATGTAAATGGGAGATATATTCGTTTTTCAATTGCTGAATTTTGTTTGGTTACGGGATTGAGGTATGATGGGGTCGATGGTCGACCAATGTTAGATGAAAAACCGTCTTCAGTGAATGACACATATTTTAAGGACTTAAAAGTTGTTACAAGTGAAGAAGTCAAGAGGGTTTTTATTTCACTTGATGATGCACCAGACCTTGACGTTGTTAAGATTGGAATTATCTATCTCATCACCTCATACTTATTTGTTACATTCTACCCGAAGGTGATGGATCATTACATATTTGTACTTGTAGACGATTTTCCCACTCTTGAAACATTTCCTTGGGATAGATATTTGTTTGAGACCACCTTATCGTCACTAAGAAATGGACTATCAAAACAAACTAGTCGCTACAGATTGACTGGTTTTTTTAGTGGCTTTCCAGGTGTGGCTATATGAGTGCATACCTGCACTTGAGGGAAATGTGGCCTCAAGAATTTGTAAGAAATATCCACGCATTATTAATTGGATTGCGCACAAACATCCTTCAGCGGCAATGTTGGAGGACAAAGTGTTTGGAAGTGAGAATGTAAAATTTTAAATACATCTAAATTGTTATGTAATCATTTGGTTAATTAGATAAATTTTGAAATGACATATGCTCAATATTTTTTCATCTTATGTGAAACAGGGTGTGATAAATGACATTGATCCATCTGAAGTTGAGCTCACAATGCCATATGTGACAGGTTTTAAATATGAACTTCACATATATTATGATACGAAATATGATTTGTGACCTGAAGTATGAATATCCTGTTTGTAAAGTGACATATCTTTTATGACTGTGACCTGAAACATGTAACTTGTGACTTGTGACTTTCTTTGTCCTTATGTATGTTGTGGCTCGTGCCTTGTGACTTACTTTGCTCTTATGTGACTTGTGAATATGATCTGAAACTTGTGATTTGTGACTTTCTTCATACGATTGTGACCTGAAGTATGAATATCCTGTTTTGTAAAGTCACATGTCTCTTAAGCTTGTGACGTGAAACATGTGACTTGTTTCTTGTGACTTTCTTCATTCTTGTGTATGTTGTGTACGATCGGTAGATGTGCAGTACTCAAAGCCTAGACAACCAACTCGGAATGTTAGGATCTCTAAAAATCAAGTGAGCACAAGTGAGGCAACTCCCCTGCTGTCGAAGGTACACGTTGAAGATTCAGATTTTGTAGACCCACCGCTATATAAACAAAAAGGGCTGCTGGCTCTAGCTCTCGCGATCAGCAAAGTGTTACCTACCATCCAGATTGCTCATGTGTTGAGGTAAGTAATTTCATTATCTATTCACTTAAGAACACATTTTATATACAATTCTACTAACTACAAAATTTATTAGGTATGTGGTCGACTAAAGCAGTTGATTGATAAAGAAATAACCAAGCTCCAAGCGGAGAACAAGGGGTTGAAAGAGGAGCTTATGTCGATGAAGTTAGAACTATCTAAGATGAATGTAAACATGCGTCAATCAAGCAATTCTTTGAAGCTCAATGAGGTCATTCAGAGTCGCAATGTGTTGAAAGATAGCTTGAGTGACATCAGGTTGTCTCTTAAAAATTTTGTTGAATCTGTATCTGACATTTTATCTTCGGTGATGGATGAACTTCATAAGAAGTTGAGTGGTAAAGATGTTTTGACGGAACAAGTGCTGAAAGATGATGATGATGTTGACAAAAAGGGCAAGGGTCACATGGAACCTGAGCCAAAAGTTGATGATGTTGCTGAAAAAAGTGACAATGTTCACATAGAACCCGAGCAAAAAAAGTGATGACGTGGCTGAAAAAGTAGACAAGGGTGACATGGCACATGAGTTTTCACATGTTCATGATGACTATGTTCTTGAATCTCCTTCATTTGATCTAGGAGTTGGCTCCTCACAGATACCTAAAAGCTCTTATGATACATTTTTTGCCAGTAAAGAAGCAGGATCAGGTTGATGAGGCTATTGCACGCGTGTTGGAATCTACTGAATTTCATTCCAAAGATGTCAGTTTAATGAAATATTTAGTATTTTAATATTATAAATTCAGACTAATTGTCATGCACTAATTTAAGAAACGTTGTTTTTATGTTTTTTATTCAGGAAGATACACCCGCACCACCATCATCTGGACTACCTGTGAAGAGAGCACAAAAGTCATCGAGAACTCTGCAGTCATCTTTTGTTAAGGTCGATCCACATCATGTTGCTACTGGATCAAAATCTAACTCTGTAAACGTCGTGTTCCAAAATTATTCGAAAGGAGTTGATAGGACAAATCTAAGTTCATTTAAGAATTGGTTTGACAGAGGATACAAGCCCAAGAACAGATAAATTAAACGTAGATTTTAAGTGTTTTTAGTGAATTGTGACATTCCATTACTTTTTGTGACTACTGCATTTCTGGTCACAGACAGAAATAAATTGGTCACAATCTTATTCATTTGTTTGATGAGGGCATATGTGTGTGCACAGGGTAAAGTTCAACGATGCAGATAACGTGATAAGTCTTCAATTTGTATGTGGCAATGTCACTGTTCATTATAAAATTTGATGGCATGCGTTGATTGATTCTAATTCATCATTGAACAACATGGTACAATTTTTTCACCATTTTCCACATATGCATAGTAGTTTGTATTACTTATGTATATTCTTTCTTATTACAGTACTTGGATGCATGCTTCATTGTATAAGACAACTTGCCAAGTTCGGTGAAGGTGTGAAGATGAAAGCTACCACTACAGACTGCATATTTGATATGTTAATCAAGTTGACATACTCTAAATTTATTCCAAGATCCAAGCATTGTTGAGAACAAAAATGAGCTAATCAAAACCATCAATGGTGAACGGTTATCATTTAATATTGCTTGGAGAGAAGTTGAATCTGTGTTGATGCCCATTATGCCTACAAATCATGCTCATTGGATGTTGGGGCAGCTTGATATTACTAACCATGTCCTTTACATATATAATTCAAGCAACAAATTATACAAGGACAACAAGGTTCGCGAAGAGGTTTTATCGCTTGTGAAGACTCTTACACACCTGTTAAAATTTGTCGGGCTATGGAAGGAAACTAGTGATGGTATTGATGACAAATCTGGGGAACTGCATGTTAATATTATCCGTGGTTTACCTCAACAACAAAATGGGTAAGTTTCGCTATGGGCATTGCAAGTTTTATCATTTTCCATCAACATTTAGTAATTACTTATGGTTTGTCTTCTTTAAATATTACAGGCATGATTGTGGGAGGTTTTTGTGATAAAGTATGCACAGTATTTGTTGCATAATGATCTTGGTAATATGTCAATGTCATTTGGTGCTGGGAATGCCAGACTTGAAACTACAGCATTGCTTTTCAAAAAGAAACAACTGAAGCAGATTGGAAAGGGAAGTTCAAAGTCAGATGAATGAACTCCTGTTGATGACATTATTTTCATGATGGATTAGATTGATAGTTGTTCAAAATTAGACAAACAGATATTTTTATGATGTAGTCGATAGATGTTATCTTTGTAATATGTTTTGGAATTGAATTTAAATTTGTTTTTGTCAATTGGTACAAGGTGAAAGTACTGTTGTTTATGTGAATGATTTTGTTTATATCATCTAAGTTTTTTATGGATGTAAAAGTCTATATTTGCACGGTCTGAACATGTCACGTGAGAATACTGCATAGTCTAAACAGATCACAAATAATCACATGCGAGTAATGCGTTATATAACCGCAGGTCACAGATCGTCACAAATAGCAACAGTTGGTTAATTTGCATGACTTGAATAGGTCACAAGTGGTTACATATGAGTACTTTCTTATATAATTGCAAGTCACAAATGGTCCGAATAGTTTTGGTTAATTTGTTACATATGAACAGGTCACAAATGCTTAACATTTATCATTGACACTCTTACAATAGAAGTAAGCATAGAATTGGTCCCATCTAGTGGAAAATGACATTCAAATTTAGTTTGAACATACAAGTTAAACAAAAAATATAGAGCTTATTTTATATTTGAAATGGTCACAGACGGTCACAATCAATGTTTGTTTACACAGCCCTTTTCCATAAATAAATAACATCATGAGATATAATGAAAGCTCAATGCATAAATCTGTCAACTCGTATAATCCAAAAAATATGTCGTTCGGCAATAAAATGAAACAATTTACAATTACAAAGAATATCATTGTGTAAAAAAATTATGCTAAGCTATTTGAATTTCTTTGGATCTTTCTTTATTTTCATTTTTTGTCATTCTGGTTAAGTGACACCAAGTTCCTGCATGTTCGACGATTGTGCCCGAATTCACCGCATCTTCCACATTTCACAACTTGTGATCTTTCATATGCTGACTTCTTTCTCTTCTTAGTAGGCCGTCCAGAACTTTTCTTTTGGTTTAGAGCAAAAACAACTCTATTACTTACATCATCTGGCAAATTCCATTCTGATTTATTACCTACAGGAAAGACAGTCTCTTTGTAGGTATTTAGATATGCATCTCTTGTGTAATACACAGAGCAAAAGTCATATACATTCAGCTTCAATGTTGCTATTACTACCAGTGCATGTCGACAGGGAAGTTGATCCACTTGAAACATTAACTACATGTATGTAGAGTTATATCAATCATATATGATGAAGAATTGTCCCTCACTTCAAACAAAGTGTAACTTGTAGGTGAAACCTGAAAATAAAAAATATTTAAAGTTATACTTGTGATCAACATAATAAACGTAGTTTTCTTGTTTTTACCTTTAAATTTCTCACATCATTGCTCATTTTCCTTAACAACTTCTCATATTTTGTTGCAAACTTTGTGAAAGTGTTATGCGTGTCATCTCTATTTTTGCAAAATCAAGATTGGACTATTTGCCTCAATGATTCTAGAAGTGCTTCAATGGGGTAATTTTTTGCCGCCTTCGTGACTGCATTAACAGATTCTACTATGTTTGATGTCTAAATAGAGTATCTATTGGTTGGCATGTGCAATCTTGACCATTTTTCATATCCAACATCCAACTACAAAATAATATAGTTATTAGATAACAGATTCAAGTAACAAGTCACATATGGCCACAGTTAACTCTAAAAAGTTCACAGATAGTCAATATTATCACAGAACATGTCACAAATGGACACATTCAAAAAACTATATTATGTTTCAGTTATAAATGAGACCACATGCTAAATATGCACTGTATATTTCATTCATAATCATGTTTCAATTTCGTGTAACAAAAATTGAAATATAGTTTGTACATTAAACATGCGTGATCACAGATATTCATAAAAATTTCATAGCATCACAAAAAAATTGACAGGAAGTCATATAACATATGTTTTAGACAATCACCTACCAAATATCCCCTGATATCTTTATTTATTGAGTCCAATTACTGCATTTGGTATTCAAATTCATCCACTGTATAAGTTTTTACAGCAGAATTGAATGCATGTGTGACATTGTGACCTGATTTTGCATAATGTGACTTCAAATTTTTCAGCAAATGGTATGAACAGTTCCCATGCATTGCCTCTGGATATACAAATTCAATGTCATTTCTTATGCTATTGTGTCTATCAGATACTATACATAATCCGTCTCTAAATTCGTACGCCCTCTTCAACATCTCAAGAAACCATCTCCTTGACTTATCATTTTCATTATCCCCAATCCCAAAAGCTAGTGTGAAAATATTGTTGTTTGCATCTTGTGTACAAGCCGTAAAGAGTGTACCCCATAGTGACCATTTAAATATGTACCATCAACAACAATGACTGGCCTACAATATTTACAACCGGCAATCGATGCACCCAAAGCCATAAAACAATATTTAAATCTATTTAAATGATTAGTTTCTATTAGTGTGACTGTCCCTATGTTCATATGTTGTAACATAAAAAAATAAGAAGGTAGCAATTGAAATGATGTTGTTGGATCACCTCTAATCAATTTTAATGTCTGCTCACGTGACCTCCATGCCTTCATATAATTCACCGATACTCCATATTTGTGCAACATGTCATTTGAGATATCATTAGGAGTGTATATTGTACGTGTAGAAGTGTATTTGTACCTGATGTAGTTTGACACCATTGAGCTAGATGCTTGTCGATGAGATCCTAAAATAATGTTCATTGAGCATGTGTGACTATTATAGATTTCCTTGATCTTAAACATTTTCGTTTCTCCCAAGCGTAAAGATCTAAATATCCACTTGAAATCATCTTGGGAACACTTTATTACGTACTCTTTTTTGTCTGATCTCAACACCTTATATTCAAATTTATTTTGTATGACATAGAGGGCCAAACTCATTTTCAGTACTTCCTTATTGCGAAAAACATTTCCCTCCACTATTTCTCTAGTATTTTCTTGAGATATCAATGTCACATCTTCTTCAATGTTTCTGTTCTCAATTGTAGTAACTGAGTCACATATATCCTGAGCTATTTGTTGTAAAGAAAACACATTAGCTGATGACTCAATGGTAGTAATTGATGACTCTGGGCATTGCAATGCACCTGTTGACTGCCATGAGTCTGTAGTGATAACATCAACTGCAATAGGATAGTTCGATACAATGCCATCCAAAGATCTTAATCTCAAATACATTAAGACATTATTATTATTTAGTATCCGAACTGGAGGTAAACTAGAATTCAAAGAATATGTTAATCTCACACCTACTTCTGCATGATTAAGCCCTAATTCTGAAATAACAAGGTTAACCAACTCATCATACTTGCACGTATCATTCACTAGTATAAGTGATGTGTGACCTCCATATAA